TTCCTACTTTCCCCAAGAGAAGGGAGTTCATAGGTTTTAAGTTACTCCTTATTAACGGACAGACCAGGTCTTTTTTTTTTTTCAGGCATTATTTATTTTGAAAGTGAAAGCCGGGCCCGGCGCGGTGGCGCAAGTGGTTAAGGTCCTTGCCTAGCACGCCCAGGATCCCATACGGGCGCCAGTTCTATCCCGGCAGCCCCGCTTCCCTTCCAGCTCCCTGCTGTGGCCTGGGAAAGCAGTCGAGGACGGCCCAAAGCTTTGGGAACCTGCACCCACGTGGGAGACCCGGAAGAGGCTCCTGGCTTCGAATCGGCATAGTATCGACCGTTGCGCTCACTTGGGGAGTGAATCATCGGACGGAAGATCCTCTCTGTCTCTCCTCTCTGTATATCCGCCTTTCCAATAAAAACATAATAAAAATAAATCTTTAAAAGAAAAAAAGAAAGTGAGAGCCACAGAGAGAGGGCCAGGAGACAAAGAGAGCATGGGGTATCTTCCACCTGATCTCCTGTCTCCCCTCCCACACCCCCAACAGGTGCAATGGTCATGAGTCCCAGCCAGGTCACTGCACATGCGCAGCAGAGGCCCAGGCACCTGGGCCATCCTCTGCCTTCCCTCCCAGGTCGCTAGCAAGCAGCTGGATCTGAAGCACAGCAGACAGGACGTGAAGCAGTACCCATGTAGGATGCCGATACTGCAGGTGGCAGCCGAGCCCACTAAGTCACAACACCAGCCAGTAGGAACAAGGGTATGAGTATCCTCATGTATAAAACATGAACTCCCATGCACAAAGCCCCAGAACCCGTCAAATCTCCCAAAGACAGTCCAGTGGTTTTCAAAGCTAGGCCTTATGGAACTGATAGCAAGCAGCTGGTAAGCCTGGGGTTTCCATTTGATAGGAAACAGCGCGTATTATTAAAAAAAAAAGCCTCCCTATTTCAGAACTTGATTTTTTGAATAATTGTGTCTAAATCAGTTTCATAACAAGATCATCCTTCGACTCACAGAGACTCAGAGAAAAGAGGCCGTGTTCCGGGTAGATCATAGAAGTTCACTCCTGTGTCCGACAGAAGCACACGCGGCCCCATGATGATTCACAAACAGGAAATGATGTGTTTCGTGACTGAATGTAGCAGCTGGTTAACGCACAGAATACAGTGCCCCTACCCAGTGACTCAGCAACAACAGAATGATCCACAGCAGAACGGATGGGCTCCTTCCAGAGGCCACAGGTGCCTGCTAGGCCATCACTGCGGTGCTGTTTGCGGCTTGACTTCAAATGAGTTGAGGACATGCGTAGTGGGTTACTCTGCCACCTGCAGTGTTGGCGTCCCACTCAGGTGTTGGTTTCAGTTCCAACTATCCCACTTTTTAAAAAAGATTTATTTATTTTTATTGGAAAGACAGATATCTGAGAGAAGGAGAGTCAGAAACCAAGATCTTCCGTCTGCTGGTTCACTCCCCAAGCAGCCACAACACCCTGAGCTGCACCGATCCGAAGCCAGGAGCCAGAAGCTCCTTCCGGGTCTCCCACGCAGATGCAGGATCCCAAGGCTGCACGCCATCTTCTACTGCAGCTAGGATATGAACCAGCACCCACATGGGATCCCGGCGTGTGCAAGGTGACGAATTTAGCCACCAGGCTACTGCGCCAGGCTCTAACTATTCCACTTCTAACCCAGCTTCTGCTCATGCACTTGGGATAGCAGCAGAGGGTCGCCCAAGCACCCACCCATGAGGGAGACTCGGAGGGAGATCCTGGCTCCTGGCTGCAGCCTGGCCCAGCTTTGGCTGTTGTGGCCATTTGGGGAGTGAGCCAGTGGCTGGAACACCTTACTCTCCCACTCTTGCTTTAAAATTTTTTTTTTTTTTTTACATTATAAAAATCAAAGTGAGTTGAAGCAGAACCAAGGGAAGGACCCCAATTTCAGAGAATATTTATAAAACATTTCTTGATCTATGCAAGTGATATTTCTCATGCTGTCACGAATCAAAAGATGACAAGAACAAAATCTGCTAAATGAGAAGTCTTGATCCTATAAGTTGGAGATTCTTTTCTAAAGTTCCAGTTAAATAAATCCACTAGTAACACAAAACCATGATACAAAACTGTATAATATCATACAATATCTCTTCCTGGGGTTATATATGAATTACAGTTTTGTCAGGGTTTTGTGTTACTGGGAAGATTAAATATACATTTTTGTGTCGGTTTAGTAACAATTTTCACTGCTGTGGTATAAATGGTTGAACTGCTGCTGTAAATGCCAGCATCCCATAGGGGTACCAGTTTGAATTCTGGCTGCTGAACTTCCAGTCCAGCTCTGCTAATACTCCTGGGAAAGCAGCAGAAGATGGCTCAAGTTCCGGCCTTCTGCATTCAAGGCAGAGACTCAGATGAAGTTTGTGGCTCCTGCCTGCCCAGCCCTGGCTGTTGCGCCCATTTGCAGGAGTGAACCAATGCAACTATGCCTTTCAGATAAAGAAATTAAAAAAAAAAAAAAAAGCAATGGCAGAGGGTATTGGAGAGCCATTTTAGGCAGCAAGTCAGAGCCTGCTCTGGATGCTGGCAAACCATATTGGGGTGCTGGGGTTGGAGCCCCAGCCCCACTCTTTGAGTTTAGCTTCCTGTTACTGGGCACCTGCGAGGCAACAGTGACAGCTCACGGAGTTGTGTCTCTACTCCCCGTGTGGAAGACCTGGACTGAATTCTGGGCTCTTGGCTTCCACGCGGCCCAGCCCTGGCTAGCAAGGGCATTTGAGGATCTCTTTCAAATGAAAAGAAAAATGTGTTTAATGCAATGGTGGCAAGAAAAAAGTTCGATGATGCATTTTTAATAATTCTAGGAAGCATACGTAACACCCAATGACTTCATCTCTTTATTGCATATTGCTATTTAAAAAAAATGTACAGTCTCATAACACATAGAACATATTTTTTTTTTCTTGGTACTATAACAACCATCCTGCACCTATAGACTAGTGGTTCCAACTACTAATAATAAGATACAAGACATACAGGTAAGTTTACAAATTATAATGCTCTTTCTTTTTGGCATTAATTTAGAAAAAAAAAAATCTTTAAAATACACACCCAAGAGAGAAAAGTGGCTACTTATACCAGCACCAATCTAAAAAGTAGTGTTGTTTTTTTTTTCTTTTCCAACAATGGCACATAAATTACCTGCACACAATTTTTGGGGAAAGGAAACTAAAGGTGGGAAATAGCCAAGACGACATCCCAGGATGGCCGCGTGAGAATAAGAATGTTTAAAATGGGAAGAGGGACACGGACACAGAGCTGTTCCTTTAGGCAACTCTCCCTCCCCCTGTCTGCTCCTTAAACCTCAAGACCAAGCCCTCTTCAGAACAGACTTGCAAAGTTGAGCCAGATCAAACTTCTCTTGATAGAAACAGGAAAGAATATACATAGAGGCACTTAAGGGACAGCCGGAGCCATCGTCCTGTCCCGTTCCCTCTCGTCTCCAAGCCTTCGGAGTCACGGTTCCTCTCGCGCATCTATTCAGGTGCACCTGCAGACACCGGTCAGCCGGGGAGCAGGAGAGGGCACCTCTGCTTTGCGCTTGCGACTTTTTATTTGCAAGAGTCGTTTACTCTCATATATGCAGACAGTTGGGAAGTTTGCAATGAGGAAAAAAAAAATCATTTAAAACGACAGCTTTTGACAACTCTGAGAGCACTCTTTCACAGCTTTCACACAGCACAGGTGCCAGCTGCACTGAGCATTAGACTTTCTACAAATTATTTTGAATATAGGATTCCTGTACAGTGTGCACATTGCTATTCCATTCTTTCCCTAGCATCCCCGTCAGAAGACACGTCCCCTGGGGACAACCTTCTCTTCGCCGCAGCCCTGCTATGCCTGGTACACAGCAGGTGCTTAATACAGACTTACGAATGGACTGGAAAACTCCATGTTTACCAAGTCACTAATATTCTAGTGCAACCGGACAAACGACTCCTTCCACAGGAAACTAAACCACAATGGGATTGATGGAAAGAAGAGCGGGCCCCCTCCCCCACTACAAATAAATAAAGCAGAACAGAAAAAGAAAGAAAACAAAACCCCAAAGTATCAAAAAAAAAAAAAAGTAACAGTCCTCTTTCTATGGCATATAATTTAAGGATAGTAAGAGTTGGAAGCTTAACGGTAAAAGCACTGACATCGTATTTTCTGATGCTCATTGTTTTTTGATTTTTTTTTTTTCTCCCTGAGAGCTTTATTTTTTTGGACTGGAATTTTTTTACAGGTAGCTTTATTGACACACACAACTTAAAAGGACAACATGTAAACAAGAAACCACTTCAAACATACTTAGAGATAAATAGAGCTGGGCATCTCTGCCGATGCTGTGCATCCGAGAGGTGTCGCTTAGTTCACGTCTGTATTTACAGGAGCTGTGGTTGGTACTAAAAACAGAAGCTAGAAAATACCCAAAAAAAGGCACCCCTTAAAAATGTGATAATCTTATTACCTTCAGAGAATTCCTCCAAGTCTTGGGTGGGAAATTGCTTTTAGGATGAACTGATGTATCTCTTTTGTTATAATAAGCACATTCTGTCACCCTTGTTCCAAGGGTATGGATTGCATTGTGATAAATAATTTTATTCTTTTTTTTTGTTGTTAAAAAGCAATTTAAAGAATTCATCAAGAGCACTTGGCAGAAAACTCAATGAAGTTGGGGTGGGGGGAAATGAATGTTCAACTTCAAATACATAAAATAATTCTGATATTCTACATAATTGGAATTGTGTGCAAGGCGTCCTTGATAGGCATTGTCACAACCACTATCAGAAACGCTAATGTCATCCGTCTCACTGCCACTAACACACTGTTAACTACCGAAAAGGTTTTAAGTCATATTTTTCCAACTCCAGTACCATCCATGAAAATAATTTGAAACTATACCAAGCCTGAAAACCATGAGATACTCTGTAAGCCTTTTTTTTTTCTTTTCTTTTCTTTTCTTTTCTTTTCTTTTCTTTTCTTTTCTTTTCTTCTTCCTTGTTTTTGTGAAATACCAGGGAATGTCTGTCATCTCATTTAGGAGACAGTATTGTGCTTCTGAAAAGTTATGGTGGTCAAGGCAAGGAGGTCAGCCACTCGACACAAAGGCATCATCACAAAGGGCTCCGAACACATACACGAACAAGGACAGGTCCCCAGACGGCACTCTGGCTTCTATGTACATTTTAAATACACATATGTACACAGGTTTACATACATACACATCCACTCACAGATGAAGAAATTGCCATTGTTCGGACAGCAAGGCCGTGTGATGAAACGTCCTCGCCATTTCCAAGGGCCGCCAACGAGCATTCTAAAACAAAAAAAAAAGTGTTCAAAGGAAACTCAGAAGTTCAGTTTCGTGACCGGTCTTTCTCGGCTGCCGTCAGTCATCTGGCTGGTGAAGCGCTTGCGATTCCGTTTCAGTTTGGAGAGGTCTTTGTCGAACACTTCTCCCGAGCGCAGGGCCGAGACCAGGTCATCAAACTCCCCGCCCTCTTCGCTGTTTTCTTTTGCTTTCCTCATTTTCCGTTCTCGTTCACGTTGTTCTTTGAGCTGTAAAGAGAAGGAAACCTCTTTTGTTCGTTTTTCATTGGAGATGAAGTGTGTAAGGTGGAGAGGAGCTTCGCTCAGCTCCTGCATGGCTGTGGACCCAGCAGGAAAGCGGGCGACAACCCAAAGTGAGCACTTCTCTGTGGCTCGACCCTTCCCAACCAGCTTCACATCCTGGACACGGGAAAAATGGAGGCAACAGGTGTGTCCTCACCGGAAGGAGCGTTATCATGATTAAACAGATGTTAAAGATTGGTTGTATTGATGGCACAGAGATATTAAAGCACGTGGCTGCCAGAATTCTTTCCTTACATAAAACCTTGGCCTGTGCACGCCCGAACGTCTCCGTAACCCCAGATAACACACATCCATCAGAGGAAATGGAGGTGATTCAGGTAAACCAAAATGGGGGCAAAGACAGAATCATCAGAGTTTATTCCATCATGAACACTTTCTATATTAATACCTGCTTTACAAATCAAAGATAAAGCAGATTTCCCACACAGGGTACCAGCTCATGCACCAGGTGCCCCACTGCTGACCCAGCTCCCTGCTAACGTGCCCGGGTGATCAGTGGAGGATGGTTCAGGAGCTTGGCTCCGACTTGGCGTTAGCTTGGCTCAGCTCTGGCTGTCACGGCCACCTGGGCAGTGGACCATTCTCCGTCTCTCTAACTTTCTCTCTCTCCCCCTTTAGCCCTACCTTTCAAAAAAGTAAATACATTTCTAGAAATACATAAATTAAAAATTTTAAAGGATCTACATGTGTTAAGTTTTTCTGAATCATTTGTCTTTTTTAGAAAAAATTTTACTTCTTCTGATTTTATGATACAGTTCCATAGGCCCTGGGATTTCCCTCACCCCCTGTCCAAGCCCCCCCAAGACGAAATCAATGAACAACGCACTGCTAAAATGACAGGACCAAATTATCACTCATTCATATTAGCCCCGGATGTAAATAGCTTAAACTCCTCAATCAAACATCATAGATTAGTAGACTGGATTCAAATAACAAAACCCATCTATCTGTTGCCACCAGGAGGCATATCTCACCAACAAAGATCAGCGGATACTATACCTCATGGCTTTTGAATCATCAGTGTTTAAAGATGTCTTTTAAAACCTCATCAACTCTCTATTCTGTAGCTATTACACCATGTAGAACATATCATGACATTTAGGTTGTTCCCACTAGGAGCACGTAAGAGTGGTTGCTCTCCCTCGTGTAAATGTATGACAATTTAGAATGATTCCTAAGAAATGGAACTTCCAAATCCAAAGATGTGGTTATATTTTGTTAAGGCTTTTTAAACCTTCGTTATCAAATCATCCAAAAGACAGCTGAGACCAACGTCATCCGCAGCGACATTCTGGACAGTGCCGTGATGACACCGTTCTTGCTAGGACATAAAACAAACCTAGAGCAGGCACTTCGCACAGCGGTGACGCCACCAACGAGCACGTGTGAGCTGTGGATGAGGGTGGCTCTGCTCCCACACCCAGCTTCCTGTGAACCCACGCCCAGGGAAGGGCTGGGACCAGGCTCAGGCAAGTTGGGTTCCTACAACCTCAAAAGAGCCCTAGACTGCCTCTCCTCGCTTTAGCCTCAGATCCCACCCAGCTGTCAAGGACTCAGTGAGTTGGAACATCTCTCCGTGTCTGTCATCTCTCTGCTTCACAAAAAATCAACAGCAACAGCAAGACCCCAAACGAATGGAAAAGGAGAACCCAAACCGGACGAACTCTTACCTGAGCTTCTAAGCGAGCCCGGCGTTCTTCCTCCTCTTTCTTCCTTCTCATGTTTTCATTTTCTTGTTTGGCTTCTGACACAGCTTGAAGAAACTGATCGAAAATGCCAAAGAACTCATCTGGCTGTATTTTGCCAGCCTCTTCCCCAAAGTGCTTCACCGCTTTGGTGAACTGGAAAAGAACGTTTAAGGACTTGAGCGTTCTATTCAAATTGAATCAAATATAAGTTGATAGAGTCTCATGAGCCTATGCTTATCTCCAATCATGCTGAACGCAACTATTAATTATTTCTACAGTCAAAATATTTTAGGACTTCTCAACTGTGAGCCATTTATTCCTGTACACCTTATTTCAGTTGCACACCTATGATTACCTCCTATAATTCTTATGAACTATACAACAGTAAAAGTAAGAAAGCAAAATATTGTCGGCTGAACATCTAAGACACAAAAGTAATAGCCAATGCAGTATGGGTAGGGAACACTGCATTTTTAACTCTTAAGTCCTTTAATATCATTTATTGGCACCATATGGTTAATAATGACAGCAAATGACCCAGGACTTCTTAGCTGCTTTTGCTAATGGTAAATATTGTTCTACTGTTAGGTTATTTCCTGGGTCTCAACGAAAAAGCATTAACTGGTTATGGATTCATTAAGGAAATCCGTATTTCTGACCAATACAACTTTTACTTCAAACCCTGTTGTCAAACTCTTCCTAAAGCTGTTCATCTGTTTAAAATAGACAAAAAATAAAATATCAAGGAAAAAATTTAAAAGATTAAATGAATAAGGGTATATCCAGTGATTTTCATCAATACTAGAGATACTAGATGGAGTATGCTTTATTTATTTATTTTTAAAAGATTTATTTATTTTCATTGCCAAGTCAGATATACAGAGAGGAGGAGAGATAGAGAGGAAGATCTTCCATCCGATGATCCACTCCCCAAGTGACTGCGATGGCCGCTATGTGCTGATCGGAGCCAGGAACTCTTCCAGGTATCCCACGTGGGTGCAGGGTCCCAAGGCTTTGGGCCGTCCTCGACTGCTTTCCCAGGCCACAAGCAGGGAGCTGGATGGGAAGTGGGGCTGCTGGGATTTGAATTAGTGCCCATATGGGATCCCAGCGCATTCAAGGCGAGGACTTTAGCCACTAGGCCACGGCACTGGGCCTGAGATAGTATGCTTTGACTAGTTTTATCAGTAATATTATACACATGCAAATGATGTCACTCTAACGCTTAAGCTACCAAAGTGCGTTCCCATCAAATTCCTTTCCTAGTCCCAACCAATTGCGTAATGTTTTCCATTTTTTTAATCTTTATTTTTAGACCGTGAAGGGCTTATGCAGAACCTCCAAGCCCACCAGTTTCTAATTAATTTTTCTTTTTCATCTGCTATTGGCTATAATGCTAAGTTTCTGTGATAGTTTGATAATACTGTGTACCACAGTGAAACCGTTCCATATTTACTTTGTAATAAAACATAGCAGGGTACTTCAAAAAAACGGAAAATGGAATTAAAAGACAAGTTTATGTTGGTGGACAAATCGTTCTGAAATCCATCTATACTTTTTTCCTTATAATGTGCCTTCCCACGAACTTTTGGAAGAACTCTCAGCCGCATGGGTTTGCAAAAGAATGCTGTAGCAAGACATATTCTCTTTCGGAAGAACTGCCTTATGTGTGTGCATATTCCTACTTGTATCTGTGCAGGATGACCAACATTACATGCCTACACAGGCCATGAAGGCTCTGTCTACCTGCTCTCTTTCCGGAAGGGGTGTCAACGTTCTACTGACTTATAACCATTCTGAGAATACAGAGCTCTTTAGGGCAAAAATGCAGCTTCTTCCCTCACCACAGATACTGCTTCAGCTTCTTGCTTCATGGGTTTAAAAGTCAATTTCTAAAAAATCCTGCCACGAACAAAATACCGATAAACACTCTGGAGCTGGTTTCTCAAGCGTTTAAGTCAGTGCACGTCAAGTCATCCTGAATGGGCTTTTTATCTAGGAATTCCAGTGGTGATGAAGTCATGTATATTTTAGTCTAGGACAGCTGAAAAAAAAAAAAAACCCAACTAGGCATGGAATAAAGTTCCCACACTGAAAAAAAAAAAGTAGGCTGTTTGCATGTTGGAGTGAAAATTAAGCACCCGGTGAATTTTTGTAACAAAAATATCTGAGTTCCTTGGTGAAGCAGATGGTAAGTCGGGATGCTGGGTTAGACGGCTGTTTGGTTTAAACGATGCCCGCTCCTGGGAGGGGACCAAACGTTAACGGCACAGGTGTGCGACCAGGCTGTCAGTGCAGCCGAGCCATCGTGACGGGATCTCAGAAGTTAGCTGGGCCTCTGCTGCCGGTCATTTGTCCTGATGTAATAAGGCTGGAGAGTTTGATCAACACTGACATTAGGAGGCTTCTGTTAATACAGTGCATTTCTGAAATTTAGCTGGTGTATATATTCATTTGTGTAACTCAACAGTGATTACCAAACCGACACCAAATACAATTGTTTCACAGGAAAGATTTGAGCAAAAGAAGAATGTGCTGGCAACCGAGAGGCTGTGTGGGAGAACCCACAGGGACAGAAGGGCCTGAAGACCATCTACAAAAATGAGAGGGAGAGAAAAGAATGCAGGTACGTGTGCGTACATGAATGCAAATACATTTTGGAGAGGTGTAGAAAGGGGCCCGGCGCGGTGGCGCAAGTGGTTAAGGTCCTCGCCTTGCACGCCCAGGATCCCATATGGGCGCCGCTTCTATCCCGGCAGCCCCGTTTCCCTTCCAGCTCCCTGCCTGTGGCCTGGGAAGGCAGTCGAGGACTTTGGGACCCTGCACCCGCGTAGGAGACCCAGAAGAGGCTCCTGGCTTCGGATCGGCATAGTATCGGCCGTTGCACTCCCTTCGGGAGTGAATCATCAGACGGAAGATCTTCCTCTCTGCCTCTCCTCTCTGTATATCCGCCTTTCCAATAAAAAGAAATAATAAAAATAAATCTTTAAAAAAATAATAAAAAAAAGAAGTGTAGAAAGAAAGAGATAAGAAAAAGAGAGAAAGGGATGAGGGTGACGGAAGGGAGAGAGAGGTACACATCTTAGTTCTTAATAAGTGAAAACCTTTCCTCAATGAAAAAAAAAATTTGAAATCACAGGAATCATTCACAAAAACTCTTACTTTAAAATACAACCTCTTGCAATGAGGCTGTGACTAAAAGGCATTGGGAAGTTCTGCAGGTCCTCGTAGGGCTCCCGTCAGATGCGCACTGTGACCGAGGGCTTTCAACTACCTGCCCCTGTTATCTTCATTAACTTTTCTCTGACGCCAAGAAAAATACCAGAGCAGCTCACAGAGGACTGCTGAAGAACTTACAGGCTTCATACCATCTCAGGCTGGCAAAGCCTTCCTAACTCACAGCAGGCCAGTTACCAACAAGGGCATGTTTCAGTACTCCCAGGCTTGGAAAGAAATACACACACAGCTCTACATGGGCAATGCACGCACACACAGGCTCTCCATGGACACTGTGCGTGCGCGCGCGTGCACACACACACACACACACACACACACACACACACAGCTCTACATGACACTGCACACACACACAGGCTCTACATGGACAATGCACACACAGGCTCTGCATGGACAATGCACGCACACACACAGGCTCTACTTGGACACTGCACACACACACAGGCTCTACATGGACACTGCACACACACACACACACAGGCTCTACATGGACACTGCACACACACACAGGCTCTACATGGACACTGCACACACACTCTACATGGACACTACGCACACACACACACAGGCTCTACATGGACACTGCACACATACATACATGCATGCATTCCTGCCGGTTCCTAAATGGCATAATATCTGAAAGTATCAACAAAAGCCCACCGCTATGAAACACCGCTCAGGGGGAAATTTACCAGGTCTTTAGCTTCTGCCAGAAGGTCTTCAACATCCGAGAAGCTGAAGCTGGCGACTGTGATGAACTGGCTGACCACAGAGACAAACTTATCTCCAGGCTGCGGGGGCTGAGACTTCTGGTACTCCAGCTCCTGCAACACAGGCAACGAGAAGACGCACCTTGACTCACAGACACCTCTCAGCAGTCATCTAAAACCACTGGGCACCTCTCACCGCTCTGCCCTTGCCCTGTGCCTGAGCCGTGCCTAGAGGCCCGCACACACCTCTGCAAACATGATTGAACCAACTGAGAGAGCCCTTCGTCACTGTGGTTTGGGAAAGTACATTCATACATTAGCATTTGGTCAAAATGAATGGAGGTCAAGCAAGCAATGGGGGCCAAGTGGACTCCAAGAGTTGTTGAGAGGAAGTCTGATGGTGGAGTCTGTGCTCTTCATCCTGGGGCTTTGACTTCTTTCTTTTCTTTAAATCAAGATGCTTTATGTCCTAAGCCTTGGTATTTGGGGCAGCAGAATTTTAACTCTGGCATTTGGAATACTACTCATCCACCATCTTTCTTCTTGTCTGCCTGGGTTTTGTGAACAGGAAGGGAGGAGCATTCATCTCCTGATAATTTCATAAATTCATCAGGTCCACAAAGGAACATGCAGATGATTCAAATGAAATTTTAATAATGAATTCCAACTACGCCCAGGTGCACTTTCTGAATGCCCATAGCACGCATGCCCACGAGGGAGGCAGCAGTACTCCCCAGCCCCTGTACAGACACAAAATTAAGTTGTAGAGGCATTACGTATGTTCCTCAAAGCAGCAGATCAGTATTGGAGCCAGAATTTGAACTCAGACCTGGCTGCGTCTAGGGTCTCGAGGACAACTCTGCTTGGGGTGGATTTTCTCTGGAACCTGCAGAGCTGCTAACAGGCAGCAAAGCAGGAGTCACGGGCTACAGTTTCTGACTCAGCTCTGCAATGGATTGGGTTTTCACCTACGGCAAGAGGCTGTAGGCCTCAGTGTTTCACGTTTAAAATGGGGGTCAGAGGTGGCACTGCAGTACTTTCCTACAATGTTGCATCTTGGCATTTACACTGCTTCGAGTACGCGGCAATAGGCAGATCCTAGGGCATAGATTTTTCTCAACAAACCAAAACTCAAAAGGCATGCTTGGACCTCTTCCCTCACCTGCTCTCAGAGGCTTACACGAATCCACTGTTACCAGTCTCAGGAAAGCCTCCAGGGGCAGCCTCTTTGATGGAATCATTGGGGTGGGGGGGGGGGAGGGGTTTCAGGTGAGAAAGGGAAAGGAGGGGAGGATCTTCATAGCTTTATTGGTAAATGACTTGAGAGATATTTAACAGCAGGGCACCTTTCCAAGCTGCTTGCCTACCTGTGCAGAACCATGCTTATACCTCTGAGTTACGCCAACCATGATCCTGGCTGGTCCTTGTCTCTGGGCCCTTGTCACTGATGGCAGCTATGGTGTATTACCCCACATGGCATGCACTAACAGCCTATTTCATCCCACCCTAGCTTCTCTGTCTCTAGGGGCCTGACTTGCTCCTCTTCCCCTGGGGCTTGTGTTTAGGCTGGCTTGAGACAACCTCCCTCCCAGGCTCCTAAGTACACCCGCCCCTCTTTCTAGGCCATAGCTCCAAGTTCAACTCTTCCAAATACAGGCCATTGTTTCACAGACCTCCAGCTCAGTGTCTAGCAAGCCTATTTTCTCACAGCACCCTTAGGCCAAGTGGAGAAGACGGACTTTCCTTCACCATTTCGCATGTATGGGGTGAGCATTTTGAATCATAATGGCCCAGGCTTTCCGCACACGCTATAAACACAAGCATCTGCTCAGTAAACATTCCCCAAAGACCACAGAGCCGGTCTAGTGCTTTGAGAATGAAAGCAATCTCTTCAAAGGCCTTGGAGACTGAGATGACATGGAGAACAAGGCTGGTCCACTTCTCCTAAGTCCTCCGTCCCACGTACACTGGCAGCACTCTAGGACCAGGGTCCAGTGACACCTGCAACACCCTGCATTGCCCAGTGACTCCTTCATTACCCTGCATTGCCCAGTGACACCCTCATCGCCCAGTGACACCTGCATCCAGTGGCACCTGCATCGCCCTGCTGCTGCCATCGAGTTGCCAGGCTCACCACTGCCAGCTTCTGCTTCCTTGTACTTTTCTAATCCATAAAGGTCTTTCGAGGGCATACTACAGGCCAAGGCAAGGAGTGAGTGTTGCGTCCGTCACCAATCCTTGAGATAGGAAAGACTAGGAGTTGGAACAAGAAAGAAATACTCACTGTCTCCACTGCCTTCAGGCCACTTCTCAGAGTACTTATTTCCTTGTCCAGCTCAGTCATGCTGTGGTAAATAATAATACTTTAGTAATCAAACAATAGCACTTTAGTAATCAACATGCGGCTTTACATGTATTCACTATAGAATATATCTTTTGTACTTTGGAAGTCCATAATAGTTTATTTCAAATATTTAAGATTTCCTTCATAGGGTAGATATTACAGGACTCAAGCACTGAATCATTTTTTGTTTTCCATGGCCAGAAGGTACGTTTTATGGCATTAAAAATAACAGAAATTTCTCCCATTAGTACAAACATACTTCTATAATCTCACAAAAATATTTCTTTGTCAAGTTGTTATGCAAGGGGTAATTAAAAAAATTAATGGAAAATGAAATGAAAAGACATGTGGTTATTTTGGTGTAAAATTTTTTGAAGTCCATTCAGATTTTTCATAATATTTTCCATAATAATTTTGAAAACCTTCCTATGAATGGATTTAAATTTTTTTGCACTAAGAATTTTTTTCCACAAATGTTTTAAAGTACCATAGTTATGTGGAAATAATTTTTTTTTTCATATTTGGGATTCTCTGAGAAAAACAAAGAAACTGGCTTTTCTATAATCTCACACTGCATTCTTTATAATTAGTATGAAGGTTTTGAATCCAGCATTTGGTAATATGAATATTACAAGCAACGGACTAACACTCAAGGCATAAATTACAAAAATATTAGCGTCGTACTAACAAGCTTTCGTTTTTATTGCCTTGATAAATGATTTCTGGACTTCTCCCTTATGCTTTGTATTTTGAAGGTTTTAAACATTAGAAAATAAAAACAATTTCTGCAGTTCATTCACACATATATAAAGAAACCCACCTAAACCTCTTTTACTTTAATACTTTACTTTCATGCTTTGCGCAGTATATTTTGATCAAATTCTACAGAGGGGAAAACAACAGCCAGCTAACCACACTTTTCAAATGCACTGCAAAAAGCAGGCAGCTTAGACAGACATTTAAACAGAGAGAGTCAAACGGGGAGGGAGATCCAGCAGGGAAAATGGTCTGTTATCCAGTCTCTGAAATGTGGTTTGTAGTTTGTATTAGAAATTTGGCAACTTTCCATTTTATTTTTAGTTGCTTTATTTGCAGTAAAGACTGCTTCCCACGAAAGGGCTGCTTTGGCTTCAGGAGTGTGTGCAATTGTGAAACTAGAAACACTAGTCCAGGTAAGTCAACTTTTGACTTTACCCTCAGGTACCTAGCCTCATGTAACCCAGGGTCTCCTACCTGGACTCAATGTAATTGCCTGTTAAGAACACCAGTGAAACCTGTGCTTTTCCTCTTTTCTCAGTAACTCAGAAAATCAGATTTAATCCAAGTTCAAAACCACATGCAACGGTCTTGCAGAGGAACTAAAATAAACATGTCCTTAAGAACTTGTAACAGATTTGAGTGATTTGGACATGATTCAAACACAGGCAAGCGTATGAGTGTCTGAGGACGGATGTGTGTGGAGGGAAGGGGCAGGGCATTTCCCAGCCAACTTCAAGTTCTATTTCAGGGAACACTCAGAGGAGAACAGAAGGACCCACTTGAAGCGAGACTAACCACCTCCCGTACGCCGGCCAAGGTTGACCAAAGCAAGGCACTCACTGTGCGTACTTACTTTACTTTGGCTGCTTGAGGGATGTCCCGCAATTCTTCATTTAGACTGAGCACCTTGGGATATTTGCTTTCCACAATAGTTATGAGATAGTGCAGAAGGGTAATGTTCCTACGATGAAACACAACGACAGAACACAGTTAATCGCTGCATACAACACAGATGGTCACGTGGCAGAATCCACATTTCTTCTTTCACTTAAAAATGTGGAGGTTTTGGTGAGCCCGGCATTCTTCAGAGCAGGGATCATGAACGAGCTTACATGGGCTTAGAAAACAAAGTCAAAAGGAAGGACACATTTGAAGGAGTGGTAGGGGAGAGGGATTACACCTTGGGTCCATAAAGAATCTCCTTCTCAATCTGGCCAATGTGACGAATGATGCGTAACACTGAGCCATGTCAATGAACACAAGCTCAAGTTCACCTTCGCAAATCTATGTCCCACTTGGGTGTGCACTGCAAATTCATACCGAGGAGAACCAGGTTGAGGGTGGTGGTGGGGGAAGCGAGCGATGTTGAACTCCACTGAATAAGGCAGCTACTGTCAAGTACAGAAGTATCTGAAGTATGCGTCTGATCTCAAAGCAACTTACTGTGACAATCATATTAAAGTTTCATCCAAAGTGAAGCCAGAAAGTGAGAACGTCTCCTGTCCGGGTTGTGTGTGCAAGCAGTCCAAAGAGATGCTATCACATACAGGGCATCTCTGTAGTTCTCAGTGCACCTGCTAATTTTAACCGCACTTCAGCTCCTCACTACAGAACCCTTAGTACTTACAAGGGTTGATGGTGCCAGGTCTCTCTCTGGTGGTGACAGGGCTGAACCCTGACTGACCTGGACTGAAAGGGCATGTCTGATAACTTAGGTCTTATGCAAAGCTGTGTTCAGTGGGTCCCAGTTGTCACTCACTGGTCCGACCTGAGTCATGCATCTGGAATGATATAGGGTCACTATGCTTATTTTTTACCACCCCCCCCCCTCCAGCCCCTGGTGATTTTAACAGGATCATGAACAGCGGTCTGTATAAGTTACCATAAGCAGGATGACACAAATGCCTTTTTGAAACTATCTCCATAATTCAGGCAGCTTGTTAATTCACAATGCTAAGTCATATCAGTCCCAGGTCAACCCTAATTAAAATGAATCCAAGTTGTCCAGCAGTTTTCTTTTCCCTAACAATGAACATCATTTCTGGTTATTCTGGCACCTTCATAGAGAAATACAACTTGATGCCTAAGTCAATTGACTCACATCTTACTATTTTTTGGGGGGAGGGGATATTTATTTATTTGAAAGAATGATGAGAGAGGACAAACACACACACAATGAATCTTCCATTCACCAGTTCACTTCTCAAATGACCCTAGCAGTCAGGCCTGAACCAGGCTGTGGCCAGGAACTCCACCTGGGTCTCCCATGAGGGTGGCAGGAGCCCAGGGGGACCGAAGTTGTGTAGCTGTGACCCGGATGAACACTTCACTGTGGAATGCCACCTTCACAAGCAACCGTTTAACCTACTGAGCCACAATGCTGAGCCTAGAGGCAGAGCCACGGAGTTCCTGGCTGCCGGGTTACTGTCCCATGGCCTCCATGGCTGAGGGCATTCCTGCCTCATGACAGAACACCGAACCAGCAAAGAGACACAGCGGCTAACACTGCAAGCAGCTCATTTCCCCAGCGCTCATCGAGTCCTCCTGTGTGTGCTGTGCCCTTCTCCTAAGCCACCTGTGTGCCCACGTACCTCCGACTTCCATGACAGAGAAGGAACACAACGCCAGCTGCTGTCACAAGAGTAATGCTATTTTCTTAGAGAGCTAGAGAAATTTCAATGAAGCTAATTTAAACGCATATGCCTTTCTTACTGTAAAAGGTTTGAAGCCAAGTCAGATATTTCCATATTTGTTTGGTAACCAAGTAACACTTCATTTGACTAGACACAGATTCTTGAGGAACGAACAGCACAACGCAACCACACATGTGACTGGCCCCTGGTTGCTGTCCGTAGCTCGGGCTGTCGGTGCTGAAGGGACTCTTCCTTCTATTAAGGGTTCCTCCATTACAGTGTGCAGTTTAAGCAAAGTTGACCAAACCCCAACTGCTTATTTACTAGCGTGGTACTCTGTTAGGCACTTGGGGACCAAATATTCATAAGCAAAAAAACCTCCCCAAAACAAAAAAACAAACCAGGAAAATGAAAGAGATGAGCAACAGCTTTCATTTATTCTTCTGAAAAGACCTGTGGATGAGGTGATTCTGTCATCCCGACAAACACACAGTCCTGCTAAGTGCCAGGGGCGAGTGACCTGCTTTCAGGGCTGTCTGTGCACTGCCGAAGAGAATGATCTTTCTGACAAAGGTGGCTAAAGGTGGCTGCTCTCTTTGCGTAAGTAACATGAGGCCATCCACTACAACCTCCAAGTAAGGCTCACCTGTAGATAAGAGGAGAGCTGTGGGCATGCACGTGGCACAGGTGCCAGCTCACCGGATGGTGCGACTTCAGGCCAGTCAGTGAGGCATTCAACCCGGACTCAACTTAGTTTCGCTCCCCTCCTCTCCTTTACTTATTATTATTATTTTTAATTTCTTTTTTTTTCAGATTTACTTCTTTGAAAGGCAGAGTGACAGAGTTAGAAGGAGAAAGCCAGAGCTTGCTTTGTTCTCCTCTGGTGATTCATTTCCCGAATGCCTGCAATAGCTGGAGCTGGGCTAGGCTGAAGCCAGGAGCCAGGGACTCTGGTGGGACTCCACCTGAATGGCAGACCTTGAAGTATGTGAACTGTTATCTGCTGCCTCCTGGGCACTCAGCGGGAAGCTAGAAGGAAGTGGAGCAGCCAGGGTTTCAATTTGGAATGTGGGGGACTCTGAGCAGTGGCTTCACTTCCTGCACCCCCACGCCTGCCTCTCTGACAACATGTGATAACAGCACTTGGTTTCTGCACTTTGCAGGCCGCTGTGAAAGTTGCATGAATGCGTTCTGAAAGACATCAAGTCTGCAGAGGAGGAGGAGTTGTAACAAGGCTGTGGCTCTGCATTTTTCTATCTTTATGAGATGCAAAAATAACAACACACTTGTCTTGCCTATTTCTTCTAGGACAGAATCAGGGCTGCATGCCACTAAGCTTCACTAACCTTCTAGAAAACACAGGGTAAAAAGCCTCATTAGTGAAGAACAGCCCTATTTTTAATGCGAATCTGGCACAAAGAAGCTTACTTTAGAAACAACCATGCAAGTTCTTTTGAAGTACTGAGAACCTCCAAGGTCAAAGCTTTCGGGGCAACTGAAGCTCATATGCCTAATCACCCTACTTGTTAATGACATGAGGGCATTTTCCCATTTTGGTGTTTTCCTAACGAGAATCTGTTCACCTAAAACCCCGGTGTGGTAAACTTTTTAGAAAACATTGTCATGAGTTTTGGGAGAAGCAGCTGCATGCCAACAGCCAAATTTTATCCCAGAAGTTTCTCCCCTCACTGGTTTTAGCTCCAAAGAAAGAAGGAAGAGGTAACTGAACATCCCATCGGGGTTCACGTGTTAGCATCAGCTGCCGGTTTCATGTTTTCTTATGGAACACAGTGGAGTGGCTGTGGCTAACAGGAGTCACGAAGAAAATTCTAGAATACTGGTTTTCTCCATGCACGTTAGTTATGGGGGGGGGGCGTTCAAAAATGTAACAGTTCATCAAGCAGTACATCTATGATTAATGACCTCTTTTTGGATATTGTACAAGAGCTGACAAGTTTATGTAAGAGAAAGGCAGGACCAAGGAGAACACTTGGACGGATGACATTCTTGTAGTCTGAAAGTGGTGCCGGCCCAGGGGGGCTGCCGGGATGCCATGGGTATCAGGGAGCCCAGAAACGAGTAAGTATCCAGGAAGGAAAGGGAATCATAAGAAAGAGTTCAAACAAGATTATTCCTGAGTCACAGCGACTATGGAAGACAAATTCAAACCCTGACCTACGCATCAGAGTCTCCAAATATTCAAAGATGCCGCACTTACTTGTCAATACTGGACTTGGTGTCAGCAATCTTGTTCAGGCTGGATATTTTGAAGCCATAGGCATTGCCTCTTTGCCCCTTATTCATATAATTTCCAAATGCCAAAACCACTTCTAACAATTGCTTGAGGGCACCACTCCTAAACACCTCCTCGGAGCCAGAACGGATAGCTGCGAAAGAAAATACATAAAGACACAAGCATGATAACCAAGACTTCACTCTTAGCCATGCTGCATTCACATACCCTCACACATATCAAAGTTGCCAAGCTTCAGAGTACCAGCCAGCATCTTCAGTCCACGCACCCCGGAGGGCAAGAACGAGGGACCAGGGCGCACCAGATACAGCTCTTAGTGCAATCACTCCTGGCTGCAAATTCTGCTTCCTTAGCTGGCTTAGCAACTGTAAGCATTTAAAGGATACATAGCATAGCTTCTCAAGTTCAACATTCATTTGCAAGCACTTTCTTGCCTGGTGCTACAAGAACAAGATTAGTGAGCAGTTCCAAAAGACGTCACAGTTGCTACCTGTTACAGCTTGCAGGTGTTTTAATGGGAACCTTGGCTCAACCAGTTTCCCAATTCCCCCCCGTCATTCTGCAGTTGTGCTCCTTAATGGTCTTGCTCACATTTCAATTTTTTAAAAAATATTTATTTTTATTGAAAAGGTAGATATACAGAGAGGAAGAGAGACAAAGATGATTCACTCCCCAAGCGGCTGCAATGGCCGGAGCTGCGCTGATCTAAAGCCACGAGCCAGGAGCTTCTTCTGGGTCTCCCACGCAGGTGCAGGGTTCCAAGCCTTTGGGCCGTCCTCAACTGCTTTCCCAGGCCACAAGCAGGGAGCTGGATGGGAAGCAGGGCTGCTGGGATTAGAACCAGCGCCCGTATGGGACTGGGAGCATTAAGGTGAAGACTTTAGCTGCTACACTATTGCACTGGGCCCTCACATTTCAAATTTTATGTATTTAGTAGCTTCAAATACAATCAGAAGAAATCTTAGACCCTATTGCAAGAAAGCTAATTACAGGGTAAGCAGTGGTTACCCACAGGGTCAAAAGCCCAAACCTGTGAGAGCCCAGGAGGTGTGCCTGCTACTGACCCTAAACAGTGATCCATCATGATTTCAAAAGATTTTGAACAACAACAACAAAATATTATTACCAAAGTGTACTAGACCCACATGGAAGAAATAGGAATTTCAGATAGGTAGCACTTCTGATTGGGGGCGGGGGGCTTGACTGTACCTTCCACTTTAGGTTTCACTTCTGCCACACGCTCTGCAAACTTCTTTTTGAAGTACAGTGACTGCAACCTTTGCTGATAATGATTAATCCTGTAAGAGCAGGCATGGAATTGTTAGCATTCTCATCATATGTCTATGTTCACATAGTGGACATGGAGGCACAAATAGCTCAGAAGGCCACCCCGCTCACACCCGCACACAAGCCCGGGACATGAGGCCAATTGTGCCTGAAGAATCTGTTCCTGTGTGACCTAAGTGAGGTACCTGGGAAACTGCAGCAGAATTGTTAGTTCCGGTCAAATTAGGCAACTGTTAAGGGACAGAAAGAGCCCGCTGGTGTTAACTGATGCCGAGTCTTGGAGTGCCAGGTGCCCTTCTGAACTTAGAAGAGGTAAAGGATTGAAGACGGACCGTCTCCATCCTATTGCAAAATAAGGTTCCTCCAAGGTTTCTTCACTTTTCACAAAGTTTTGCCTTTGGCAAAAGTATAAAGAGTTGTCTTAAGCACCTTCTCTCCCTTAGAAGTTAATTCCCTGCCTTCTCTCAGGGCGTGCGTGCAAGCTCTGCTTCCCAAGAGAGCCAGCAGAGGTGAGGGAAGTGCACTGATCCCCAAGATAAGCGGCTCTGGCTTCCGCCTGTCCTAATCTCCTTACAGTGGAAAAGATCATCCCCTCCTCCAAACCTTAAAATCACAAAGACCTAGATAACCCAGATCCACCTTCTAATAGGAACCTTCCACAAGTGCTCCAGTTTATCTTTCCAGGGAGGTGGAGAGCACAGTCCTGCCCTGGAAGTCCCCTAGGCTGTGCTGACAGAATTCAGTGGGAAGATGTGTACAAAGAACCAGGTGCTTGCTAAGTGGCATTGATTCAAGTAAGGACCGCTGGGCGCTTCTGTTAAAATCTCCAAGTCCTCCTCTGTCGCAGAGTAGCGTAAAAAAAAAATGGCAAGGTGACATGGGACAACGAAGCAAGTCTGCGTAAGACAGAAATGCAGAGAGCACAAGGCATGCTTACCGCGGCTGCACCTGCAGGCTTGCTGGGAGGAACTCTCCTTGCCTCACCTCTCCTCTCCCCTTCTCTTGTCCCTTCCCTTCTCTCTCTCTCTCTCTCTCTTTCTCTCTATCTATCTCTCTCTCTCTTTAGAAATAGCGCACTCCTCTAGAGCTTCCAGTTATAAGAGCTGGACCAGGTCTTCAACATGGGCGACAGGAATCTAACCATGACAGTATGCATTGGCTGTAGTCAGTAGCTAGGGCAGGGGAATGAGCCGAGGTACCCTGATGTGAGATGTAAATATTTTTTTAAAAGGCTTATTTATTTGAAAGAATGACATAGAGTGGAGGGAGGGAGGCGGGCAGGGAAGAAAGGAAGGAAAAAGGGAGAGAGGAAGGACTGAGGAAAAAATAGAGCTCTTTCAATCTCAGCTGGTTTAATCCCCAGACACCTGCAACAGCCAGGGCAGGGCTGGGAGGAAACCTGGAGCCCTATCCAAGTCTCCCACATAGATGGCTAATGCCGTTACCTATTGCTTCCCATGCACATTAGCAGGGAGGTAGATCAGAAGCCAAGTTGATAGGACTTGGACCATTACTGTGATAAGGGTTGAAGACACCCTAAGTGATGGCTTCATGTGCCCTGTCACCATGGCAACCCTATGACGTAAGTGCTTAAACCAGTCTTCACCATTGAGCTACATGTCCACTCTGCATCTCCATTGCTTAGGTGACTTCAAACTCACCTGCTCATCTCAAAAAGGAACCTGTCAGCTTTGGCCATCCGATCCAACTCATGCTTATGTTCCTCCAACAGGTCAATATCACTTTTCTCAGGAACGAACTTCAAAAGCTAAAAAGTACACACAGAGATGACAATGAGGCTCCAAGTTTGAATCCCTGCAGTGAATTTTCACCCTTTCAGTTCATTTGTCCCAAGATGAAGTTTATTAACTTTGCTCACAGTTGCTTACTGAGATACAAGAGAAGCAATAACATCTTTTCACTTTTACCTGAAAACAGTTAAGATTCAAGACTGGCAACTTCTTCTCCTCTAATACCTTTTAAATCAGAATTGTAAAGATTCTTTTCCAGGACCCACTTTGTATAGGCTATTAATAAGACCTTGGCAATCTAACCATCTCATTAAAAAATTGGAGTTGGGGCTGCAGCTGGGGCTGGGGGCAAGCCATGCCAGATTGGACCACAGTACCTGCTGGAACTCATGACACTAGAGCTGTGGTTTGGCCTGGTGGGAGACCTTTGGGGATACCCCTGCTGGGCCATAGCATCTGTCAGCACATGCAAGAGTTAGGGCACAGGGCAGGCTGGGCTGAGCTAGGGTACAGGACCCACTAGTTTATATGAGAGCCTGAGCTGGAGGTGGGGGACTGACCAGACAGCCACATCCACTGGGTACATGCAATGCTAGTGCAGGGCTGACAGAGCCTACTAAGCCTGTACCAGTTGGCATACATGGGAGCAAGGCCTGAAGGCCTTCCAGGTAAGATTTCTTATTCGGCTCCCCAACTAGACCCCTACACCTGCAACTTCAGAGAAAAATCACATCACAGACATGCAATCTACATGTTGCGGGCCCAGGCCACCTCAGTTGCTGATCTTCATGCAAGAATGGAGAGCATACCCAAATAAACAGGAAGGACAAGACAGACAGCTCATCTAAGCCAACCCAAGACTTCAAGCACCTCACAAAAAGATGGAAAAAGGGACAGACCAGGCCGGGCTCTACAACAAGCACCTAGATTTGTGAGCACACTGAGGTGTGCAGGGACAGCCAACAGGCTTAGGAAGAATTCCTCACCTCCGGTGTAACACAGCCAACAGCCTTTCGGAACAATGAAGAGCACTCGAGTAACACCCTTGGAACATTCTTCCCCATAGTGGGACCTCAAATGACCGCCTCTGTCCCCGGGCACTGGTGTAGTGCGACAGCAAGGAGCAGCCCGCTTCGCCCCTTCCCTCTTTGCAGACACAGGAGAGAAGCCTGAAACATTTGCCTGGCCCACCTCTCCCTACCCCACCACCCTTCCAGCTAAATGGAATCTGAGGCCCACATGGGTCTGTAACCCCCTCACTTCAGTGGTAAATACTAAAACTGAAAACAAAAAGGTGATACCATGGAGGACCTGAGGAAATGAGTAGTCCAACCAGGATGACTTTGTGGCACCGTCACCAGGCCTGGATCCCTGTGACTCTCATCTGAGTGCTTTCCTTTACACTACACTGTAATGAACAGTTCCATGTGCTCGTTCCATTCGATTTGCTTCTTGTCTCGGTTCACCTAATTCCCTCTCAGTTTTTGTTCCATCTTTGATCCACAGAAACATAGATACCGATGCTTTGATTTCATATTAAGTTAAGAGGATGATATGGACACAGAATGTGTTATGGTATGTAAGATTGAAAACAGACATCTGTTGTGTCTGATTTCCTTTCAATGAACCTGTGTACACTGGGGGTCTGCATCTGTACATGGTTTTCTAGATCAATATATTTGGATCCTCTCCTTGATGCTACCATTGGGTGGCCCATTTAGGTTTCCAACATGTTTGCTGGATTTAACTGAGTGAGGGACCTGACAAAAAGCAGTTAATGTGGGTACCACTGGCAGAGAAAAGAGAATCAGAACCACAGGGAAGGATGCGTGAGCAGCTGTAGGGAAACGATGGCAGGTTGGACATGTTGTAGGCAGAGTCATTTGAGGTCCTGGGGTCTGAATGGACAACACAGATTTTATACAGGTGAGATGCTTTATGCGTAATGGGAGAGGACAAGCATAGGCACAGGCCTCGCAAGGATTCTAGTATTTAATGTGGGCGCACTAGATGATCCTTAAACATAGGAGAATGAATTTGCCTTGTAAAAGACCATTGTGCTTACAGAAGGTAGAAGGTATGACGTGGAACTATTAAGGGGCTGTGAGCACATAGTGGGTGCAGTATTCTCTGGGGGAGGATAGCATACCAGAGCTACTTAGTGAGCTGAATAGAACGGGCCTGACTTGCTGACAGATGGACAGTGGTCAATGGCGGAGGAAGACAGACAAGCCTCGGCTTCTGGCTTAGTCAGTAACCTACGAGAAGGACAGGAAGCCTAGCCAGAGGACAGAGGAAGGACACGAAGGAGAATGCAAGGTTTGAAATACTCCCAAAAGAACCCAAGAATGACCAAGTGGTGATTTCTAGCAGTCAGTCGGATGACACATGGGAATGACCCTGAAAAGAGCTCTTTGGAAGGCAAAACACTGGTGCAATAGGCATGCTGCTGAGGGCATGGGTAGAGGGGGAAATGTGTAACCAGAAGGGCAATCAAGATGGAACATAACCAGCCTTCATGGGACCAGGTTAACCAGACGAGCCTACCCAGAAGGTGATGGAGGTGCCACCAGTGAGGCCTCCTTAGCACCGCTGGACCAGGAAAAGCAAGTGGATACTGGGGTCACAAACCACTAAGAAATCAAGAAAGACCAGTTCTGCAAAACCTGCCCTGGCTTTACAACTGTGGATCACTGTGTTTCCTCGGCAAAGCTAGGTCTATGGAAGTTAGAGGACAGATTGTAAGGGCTTTGAGAGTGAACAGCCAGGTGAGCGTGGATAAGCTTTCAAGCAACAGCCACGTCAAAAAGAGAGCAGACAGCAATGATGGCGACGTGGAGAGCTAAGGGGCAGGTGTTCGTACGGCTGAGACTTAAGGAAGTTGAGAACAGCGAAGGGAAGACTGAAGATCTGTGAAGATAACTCGGCCCTTGATAATTAAGGACGGGACCAAAGCAAGGGGCAAAAGAGCCTCTTCGAGGAAGGAAGGGGTGGCTGCTGAGGGCACGGCAGGTGGCAGGGAATGCCAGGAGGGTCCAGGTCTGCAGCCTTGACGGCTCCCAGGCTTTCCTGATCCCGTATTCAAATGTGACATCGGTCAGGATGGGTATGTTCTTGTTTCTCTTCAGGGAAGCTGATAGGACTAGGAGAAGGGAGGAGAGGGAGAAAAAGCACTGTTTTCTCGTGGAGCTGGGATTTTTACCTGAGGTCAAGGTGGCTGATGTCAACCTGCACCTTGGCACTCCCACCCCTATCCAAGTTGAGGATAACACCATGATCATGTCTGTTTTTTTTTGTTACAGGAGCATAGCAAGAGGGACAGGCTAAAAGAGGCAATCCCCCTCAAAGGGAAGCTAAGCATGAGAGAGTGTGTGTACATAATTCTCAAAGAACAAAAAGGAGGCAAGCAGAGCCCAGGGTATCAGCAGAGAGATGGTCCTGAGTGCTGAGGGCTCCGGGCAGCTCGGGTGGAGGAAGGACTGGGGTCCAAACCAAGTCACAGAGAGAGCAGCCAGAGGCTGGCACCCTCAGCTGCTGCTGAGACTGCTGAATGACGGAAAAGGAAGCAGAGGAGGAATATGAAACATGGAAGAACAGAAAGAGCGTAGGAGATGACCAGAGAGCAACGTAAACACAATTATCAGGAAGGATCAGGTCAGAAACACCCTTCTTGGCCGGAGTCTGCGTCAGTGGACTGATTCTCTTGTATTTATTTGAAGTACATTCTATTTGTACTGCAAGTCTTTTTGGCAAGATTTTGAAATCCTGTCCCTCAAGGAAGAATTTTGCTGGATGCAATTTCACAGCACACAGATCTTGTGGAATTTTAAACATATAGCCTTGTCCATAGGGGATTAGACAGAGGGACTAAGGTGGCTCTCCGGAGTTCTTTATTCCAGGTTATAACTGGGAGGCAGGGTCACCGGGGAGCCGGGTGGAGGCAGATGGGAGCTGGCTTCAAACTTCTGGGGCAGCAGCTAACTGGACTGGTTTATGGAAGTGTTTGCAGAAGAGGCAAATACTGCAGAAGATGAACTTGAGGGTGAAGGAGTATTTTTAAACTACCCAGAGCACCCTAGGATACTTGAGCACAATGCCACTAACTATTTTGATAACAAAATCACTCCATCAAAGGACACCAGCAAAAGTATTTTTGTTCCTGTGTGAGAGTTTTCACCCAAGGCAAATCTGATGGCAGGAAAGGTCAACCCTATGGAGGTGTGAGACTACACACGTCACTATCCAGTGCAAAATACCCTTTTGCTCTGCTCTTGGATTTGAGTGTGTTCATATAATGAGTCAAGTTCAATCTAAAATTGTGTGGCTTAGAAGTAGACCTGGTGCCAACAATCACGGCCCTCATGACCAAAATCACTCAAAAGATGATTCTACCCCAACACAAATGGAACAAAAAGAGTCGGTAATCGTCAAACTTTCTGAGACTATTATCAACAAAGACCAAAACATTCAGGTTCAGAGCAAGGGGCAGACACCGTTGACAACTGCTTCAATATCTACTACTTGCACAACATTGTCCTTTAACACACGGTGCAGTCACACTGTCAGACAACACAGGCTTCGCCTCGAGGAATTTACAACCTATTTTGTGATACAAGCAAGTTTTTTAAATACAGATGGTAGACTGTGAGGGAAGTTGAACAGACTTTTGTAGTCATGGGAATGATGACCTAAGACCAGATACGAACTATACTAGGAATTCAGTAATGAATACAGTTACGTAGCATTGCCTGTGGTGATGCCAGTGAGATTATCAATAGTTCTGAGAAACTCAGACCTTTGAATAAAGCCAGTGTATTTATCTGACCCACTGGGACTTAATAAATGCAGCTTGAGGGACGAAATCTGGCACAGTCCATCCCAGGCACTGAGTAAATTTGTGAACGTCCTTCTTAGCCCCTGTTTCTCAAGAACAACGAAGGAATAAAGTGTCTTCCTAGAACAGGTGGAAACATGGTTCAGCTTCCTCAGTGCAGAGATGAGCGCATGGTTCGTTAGCCACGAGCCTGCTCTATGTTGGCAGTCAGGTGCCAGGTATGCCATGAGACGTCTGGTGCTTACCTGCTCCAACATGTCCTTGGGCAGATCTTCCTGTTCGTCCATTGTCAGGATTGCCCGCTTGATTTCATCGTTGGATAATTTCAACCTGGAGACAGGATAGGCCACTTGTTACCACTGTAATCTAACACAAGGCGATCCAGCTACACCAGATGCTGATTTTCTCGTACCATTTTTCACACACACAAAAAAAATTCTCTCTGTGAAAGCTCACTTTTTAACAGTACTGTACCTAAAAATAGGATTTTGAACATGCTTTCAATTCTTCTGTGGTGCTGTAATGCTCTGTTAACACACAGCACAAAGCAGCTATGTTCTGTGGTTTAGTTTCCCCAAGCAAGGGACAGGAAGATGCTAAATACCCCACACTGCTCTTCTCTTTGCAGCTTCTATGAATTGCAGGCAAAAGCGATAATAAACAGAATCCCTGGCCTGGTTTTATGTCAGGTGTGTTAAAGTTCTCTGGCGGGTTAATAGTCAACAACTTTATGCTATTAAAAACTTGACGAGGTAAAATAAAATGTGCTAGCCCTCTAGAGTTAAGGCATTTTCACACAGTTCATTTCATTCCCAAAATAACTGGGATCACTTGTTAAACAGATGAGAAGAACCACGTAACTTACCCAAATCCATAAAGTAACAGAGCTCATAGACCAAAGCTTTCTGGTGGCTAATCTCAAGTTCTGTATAAATAATGCTTATTCCAATACTACTGCACAGGCAAAGACTTATGAAAACGCAAAATCTGTTTTCTATCTACCATGAACTTAAATGGTTTGTGAATTTAATTAGGGATTTGTGTCACGGCCAGAATAACAGTGTTGCCCATATAATACATGTATCATGAAATAGAAACACACTTGCAAGGATTTTTTTTCCCCACAGCAACAGTCTTCAACATCATTAGCTGTGACAACAGAATCATTTTCTTATTCTAGTCATAAGCATTAGACTCCGGCTTGCTTCTAAAATCCTAATTTCCTACAATCTATCACTAATGTGGCAGAGCAACATCATTTGACTCATTCCTTTTGTCAGTGTTCTTTGAGAAAAATCGCAGATGGCAGTAGAGATAAAGATGTGAACACACAAAGTAGTGCTCGATGTCACTTCTGAAGCCGGGCCCTAGTTTTGGTTCTTTCATGCTAGTGTGACCTGAACGAAATTTTACCGAGTCTAGTTTCCTTATCTACAAAATCGGGATGATACCAAAAGGACAAATATCCTATGTTCTCTATGATACAAGGCAACATTCATGCATAATACAAGATCATAGATACATAGGTAAACATTCGTGGACATATAGTCATGTAGAGGAGCTGTATACTAGAAAATATCATATCATACCGAGAAGTAAAGACACACTGCGTATGCATCTCTACTTCTGAATAAAGACGGACCCCCAATGAAACGCTTCCCTGTATCTTGACAATAGGATGCTGGACTTTCTGCCATTGTCTAAACCTACAACGTCAGGATACACTTGAATAGCAGAATGATGTTCTTACAACCTTACTATTACAATAATACAGGGAAATCAGTGGAGGAAGGGGAATTGAAGTATGCATAGGAGGCACTTGAATTAGGTACTCCAATACAAGAGATGGCTCTCCCTAAATGAGAGCTAAATCAGCTGCACCTCAATGCCCTCCCCTCCACGAACTTTTTGAAGCACCCCTCATATGTGTGCACGATGAGGCAAGTTTTTCCATATCAGAAAAAAAAAACCCCCGGTAGCAGTACTTCTGTAACTTTAATATGGGTTTACAGCTAAGCATTAACCAGGGCTTAGCATAATTCCTGTGAATTCTTCCAAATCACTCAGACTCATTATTCCACACACTTCCACTCTGCGACACGCATTAGGTCCCAGGGCATTCTAAAGGAATGAGAAGATGTACTCCTTAGCTGAAAGGTGTTTTGATCCCTGGGCGAAGCAGAGGGTAATGTGGATGCACGGAGTGAGGCATGTCAAGCACACTGCCCTGTGAGTGTGGAATTAAAGCAAGAGTGAATTCAAAGGCCTCAGCACAGAACCCACGGGAAGCTGTGGAAGACATCACTCGTGGAAATATGGGTTTGCCCTTTCCCCTAGATGGCAAAATGATTTTGTTACAGTCCTTCACCCTATTTTTTTTTTCACTCCTATTTAAATGAAATGTTTCTTGTGCAAATAAGAAGAAAGGAAGGGAGAAGCAAATCTGGGAATTTGAAGGCATCAAACACCATTCTCTTCTGTCACATATTACCAAATTCAAATCCAACAACTAGGCAAAATGCCAACTTATCTATGCCAGGAAAAAGAAAACTTTCCATGACTGAATTGAGCTGTTGTGGACTGTGGGACTCATGCTTTGTCCAGCAAATCGAGTCCTGGCAAACCTCTCCAGGTTGTTACGGTCACTGTCTTATGAATATTTCCCTGGAGCATCTTGATGGAAAATCTCCATCCTTAAATGGAACAACTTAGCTAAGCTGGCACGGGCACGGGATACACAGAGCAGGGTTAAAAACGGTGGCATGTTTCATCAAGGTCCCAGTCGTACAGCCCCTGGATTGCCTGAGGTCAGGGATGCTAAAGGTTCTGGAGTTAAGGCAGTACAAATACCACGAAGTGGCCAGGCACAGCCATGAAACAGTGAAACAAGGAAAGATGGAAACTGCCACCGATCAAAGCGCTGGCTACGGAAGCATCCACAAGCAGGATGACAAGTGCTCTGCTTACGAGCAAAAAGAAACAAAATAATAATAATTAATTTTGTCCTTTTTACACCAAGTGGAAGAAAACATGTTATGGTGTGGTTCTGCTGAATCCCCCCTGTTCTGCATATAAAAGAAAAAGAGTTGAAAAAAATCATAGTGAGAACAATACTTGAAGTATCAAATTTGTATTTCGTGAGCTCTCCATACGGAGTGCAGAACTTCTGACTTTTGAAACTGTATATATTTATGCTCTTCAATCCCCAGAGGCTGTCTGGACTAAATACTAAATTCCTAAAAATTCTGGTTTTCCCGTGGCCTAAAAAGTGAATGGAGATTTTAACAGGTAGTACTTAAGAAAATCTCCCTGTTAACATAAGGCCATGCACGTGGCCTACTGCACGGAACAAAGCCCGTCTACTTTACAGGAAAGGAGAGATGCCCCGCCCTCCGGGAGAGCCCCATAGGCTGCAGAGTTCTTAGTGTCATCTGTCATCTACAGAGTGAGTTTCTAATCTCTGTAATTTAAGGAGCCTAGCAAGCCTAGCCGTTTAATTGCTTTTCAAGCTTGGCAGTGTTCTGGTGCGCTGGAGGGTGGCGGCTTTCAAGGCACTTGCTGCAACCTTCATTACAAGGCAGGAAACAAACCAGCCATCTGAAAACAGTATCTACCTCCACCTCACTTTACTCAAGCATTTCAAAAATTTGCCCAGAGTTATTGGAACAGCTAGGCATAATGAAAATGGGCTAAGGATGGGTGGCGACTCAACCTTAGCTCAGCCTCAGTGGGTCTAGGCCAAATCCCCCTGCTTTGAAGTGGCTTTTTGTGGTTTACTACATCCATTGTGCCATGTCCAGGGAGCATCTGGAGAGGAAGATTGGAGACATGTTTCTTACTTCTATATTCAATAGGGGTCAACTGTGCAACCTCACCCTGCTTCCTTTGTTACCTTGGAGGAAGAGGTCTGTTTTAAGCACTAAACTACATGGTTTTCTAAATTGCTACCCATCACTCTTGCACATTCATGGGGAAAAAAAAAAGCTGCTTCTCTCGTCCATAGCCTGAAGACTCAAGAAAACACTCATTTTAAGGGGCATTGTATCCACTCCACTCTTCCCACATGTATGAAACATATGACATGGTGCCCTGGCACTCACCATTCAAACTTGTATCGTGTAGGTGGTCCCCTCCAGCGAGCTCTGGGTGACACTGGCCATCCACACTGTAACATCCTCCTCACCCAGTCAGCCTGCACCTCTTTCCCTGTCTTGATCCCTTGCCAACTGCCTTCTGTCCCGCCTGTGGCAGGTGGTCTGACCAACGAGCCCACTAAGGAAGTGCTCCAGAGCATAACCCAACACTGTGAACACACACACTTAGGAACAAACAAGAAATGTGCATGACACACACACAAACTCTGTATGCATGTCAAAATGTTTTGCACCCAAATAAACGTATCTTTTAGTTCCATTTTCAAAACTATAACTTTTTGAAGTATCCTTGCACAGGCCACAGAATACATCATGTCTTCAGGATGGACTTTGGGGAAACAGCTGCCTTGCTGGGAAATCAGTCCTTTGCTGGCAAGGTAAGCAATGGATAGGCTCACTAGCCTGTCCCAGCTCCTCACATGTTAGTAGTGAGTTGCTGATGAAGAGCAGAGGATGCTAGTTAAATTGGTAACAGTTTTAAAAAGCTGAATGATGGGGCTGGTGTCATGTTATATCCAGAAAAGCCTCTGTGGTGTTGGCCTCCCATAGTGGCGCCGGTTCAAGTCCTAGTTGCTTAATTTCTGATCCAGTTCCCTGGTATTAGACTGGGAGAGCAGCGGGAGGTGTCCCAAGTCATGTATTTGAGACCCCTGGAAGCAGTTATTGGCTCTGTGCTTCAGACAGGCCCAGCTCTGGCAGTTGTACACAAATTGGGCATGAACCAGCAGATGGAAACTTTTTTTAAAATCTCCTCTTCTCCCTCTGTAATGCTAACAAAATAAATAATTTTTTTAAGTAAACGAAATAAATACACACTAACATTTAACATGGGGAGCATGCATTTAGCTCAACGTTCCAGACACCCGTTGCCCCACATTAGTCAGTTCAACTCTCAACTCGGTCTCCTTGTTCAAACGTCCTGCCAACGGGGACTCTGGGAGGCAGAGAGGGCTCACGTCACTGGGTTTCTGTTCCCTGTGTGTGTGAGATGTGCTTCAGCCTGGCCCAGTGCCGCTGCTACAAGCATTTGGCGGGGGAGGGGGGGGAGAGGGGGGGTCAACCAGCAGGAGGGACTCTGTCTCTGTCCCTCTCTCCTCGCCAGAGAGATTCTAAAACCTGATCGATACGAAAAGGCTCCAGAAATGCTCATGGGAAACGCACAGTAGAAAAAGCTGTGCACAAGTGTCAAAATTTTTCTGTAGAAAACTAAAGTTATCTTTCACTTGATTTTTCAGGAAGCGTTTCAAAGCACCCTATGTAACAGACAATGGGAGGGAGAGAAGGGGATGGGAGAGGGGGAGGAAGCCCTATGCTTGCAAAACTGTGAAACAGAAAATAAAAAAGGCTCTATATAACCTCATCAAGAAAAGGTCAGCTAGACTTAAAGTTTGTTGTCCGCAACATGATTTTTCATTATACTATGTATTCATTAAAGTGATTCTTAAAACATAACAGATATGAGGCAAACTGACTTGTAACTGTTGTCTAGATATCGTCTGAACAATTTCTCAGTTAATGTCGGCTCCTGACAGGTTTAAGGTCACAAGAGAATTACATACTACAAATGTGGAACAATTCCTCCAATGATGGTATGGGAAATCTGCCTGGAAGAGTTACGACCTTGTCTAGAGGGGGTAATGACCGTGGCTGGCACTCAGGACGGGGCAGATTCCGTCTTTGAGGAGCCAGCTCGGAGTTCTCACCCCAGAAACACTCCAGCAGCACGGAATTCAGACAGCCCCCCTTTTGTCAAGTTACTCTGAAATGTTCATCCGGTTGGAGAAAACACGCATTCTAGGGAAAATTTTAGATACTTAAAAATACCCATTTAATTTTCCAAGCAAGAAGAGTCCTTGCAAAAGGCATCAAAAGGCATTAAATACACTGCAGAAGAAAAATAAGCATGCCTTCAAATTCTGCTGAATGATGTTTTCCTAAGCAGATGGCGAAGTTACCTAACTTGAGCACAACTGAGGCAGAGAAAAGCCAGACTAAACCAAGAGCCTGGCCATTCACATCGCTTCCTACTCGAGACAGAAACGTACGCAAGCAGACTGGCTCATGTTCCCTTTCAAGCTGCATTAAAATTCACTAAGGTTCCATTTCTGTTTTTGCTAGAAGAAAACATTTGCTCCCTAAAGTAATATATATCTGGCTAACAATCAGGTTTCCACGCTGAAAACCAAGCAGGAGTTCTTTGTGTTAAAAGAAAACTCATCCAAGGCTATCTAAGTTACAGGACCACTTCTTTCCTTCTTCATTCTCCCAGAAGAGAAACACTTTGTTATGCTCGCCTCAATGCACATTCAGCACTCCTTTCACAGTCTCAATATTCAAGATTCTTATTTTCATTAAGTCATAAGAATTAGATGTCCTTGCCTCACATGAAGTCCCTTTTGGAAAAAAACAAAACCAACAAACCTAGATACAGAAAAGCGATTTGAAATGCCAAGAATGCCCTGATAACACTGCCTGAAGCAGCAATCAAATTCCAGCCTCTGAAATTTCCTCTGTCCATTCCTTTTCAAGTGCCAAGGCAGTGACGGTTAGGGGAAAGATTGCAAACAGGGCAGAACTGGACAAATGAACATTTCACTGAGGTCTGAGCTTTACGTATCTTTTAGCCCTTCATAAAAAGCATGTGCTCATGTAACCTTGAGATGTACAAGATGGTATTGGAAAGTCAAAGTGAAACAAACAGCCATGTCGGTCCCCATTTGGTCACGCACAACCCAAAGAGTCCCTAAGACCAACAAGGGTGAAGAAAAGTCGAATGCCTTTCACAGGTTTTTCAGAATGAAAACACTGACTTCTGCTGCTTTGCTTTTAAACTGAGATACCTGAGGACACAGGCATCCACACACACCGCCTTTCACCAGGAAAGTGGGCACCGGGAGTTCTCCCCACCTTGAACAGGAGGGAATTCAAAGACCTCCCTTTGGCAGAGCACTGTTAGAGCAAACCGCAAGCGCGTGGTTTTGATGGCCAAGACAGAAAAGTCGGTACTGGTAGAAATACTTGTTCAACACCATCAGTACCTTGAGAGGAGGATGTTGCAGTTCTGAGCCCTCCGACCATCAATCACTGACAGTTCTTTGACTTTCAGTTTGGAACTCAGCGAGTCATCCGTGGCATCTGCTTCTTTCTGTAAAGAGCAGGAAAGAAACACGTCAAAGCCCGACAGTGACATTCTCAGGAGACTTCACACACACGCGCACACACACACACACACACATGCACACACACACATGCATGCACTACACAGACACACACTACACTACACACACACACACCACACTACACAGACACACACACACTACACAGACACACACACACCACACAGACACACACACACTACACACACACACACACACGCACACTACACAGACACAAACGGGAAGAGCTGAGACGGTAAAACGTGATACAGGGAGAAGGCAAAATTGAGACAAAGGCCACAATCTAGCTGCAAAACAGAAATAACAACGGGGGCCGACCACCCACATTTAAGAAGCATTATTTGGGAAAACAAAGGGTTTCCAAGCTGAAGATGTGAAATGTGCACAAATCCTCAGGGAGTGACACCCTCCCTTTGTCCCCTAGAGCCCTCCGGACAGGAGACAGAAGAACTGTCACCATGAATCAAGCTGCACTGAGCTTTGCCATTGCTGCTGTGGCCATTTGAAGGGCCCATTCAGCCCCTAGCTGCATTTGAGCACTCAAAAACGCTGAACAATAAAACTTCCCAAACATCTTCATGTGCAGCGGGGAGCTCCCAAGGCCAGGTGGTAGCTCTCCTTGCCCTGGAGGCCGATGGACAACGGGGAGGAGGCGGGCAAGGCATTAGCTCAGTTAACCGACTTGGTAATAAGCCCTAGTTGTACATTCTGCTGCTGACCGGAGAGCTGTATGCAGTGGCGGCCAGTCATAAGAGACATGAAGCAGGTCTATACAAAACACTGAGTATAAATACCAGGGACCAGAGGCACTGACAGCAATAAAAAGATCAAGCTCAAAATGGCATTGTGATTTCATTTGCAGCCAGGACTGACTCAACAATGGATTACGGGGGCCAGCCTGGGGACATAAAATTGCTGCCTACAACCCCAGCATGCCATTTAGGCACTGAAATGTGCCTTAGCTGCTCTACTTCTAATCCAGCTCCCTGGACAGCCTGGGCAAAACAATGGATGATGGTCTGCCCATGGGCTAGCCCCAGGTGGAGCTCCTGGCCCTGGCTGTGGCTTGACCCAGCACTGGCTAGTGTAGTCACTGGGGGCATGAACCCCTGCACAGATGAGCTTGATCTAAATTTCTTTCTTTTTTTTTTTAGATTTATTTTTATTGCAAAGTCAGATCAACAGAGAGGAGGAGAGACAGACAGCAGAAATATTTCCATCCACTGATTCACTCCCCGAGGGGGCCACAACGGTGGGAGCTGAGCTGATCCAAAGCCAGGAGCCAGGAGCTTCTTCCGGGTCTCCTGTGCAGGCACAGGGTCCCAAGGCTTCAGGCCATCCTCAACTGCTTTCCCAGGCCACAAGCAGGGAGCTGGATGGGAACAAGGGCCACAGGGGTACAAACTAGTGTCCATATGGGATCCTGGCACATGCAAGGCGAGGACTTTAGCCACTAGGCAACTGCGCCAGGCCCTCAATCTCAATTTCTTTCTCTGTCTCTTTCCCTTTTTATCTTTCAAATCAATAAATAACTATAAAAATGTAACACAACATTTAAAACATATAAGAAAAAAAAGAGCTCTGGAACTGTGCAGTAGTTTAGGAAGCAAAGGCAAAAATGAATTTATTAAATGAAGCACCATGTGACCAAACATCAACTGTCTCTTGATATGCTGAGATTTCAGACGAGCTTCTAGCTATTTAATTGATATTTGAAATCCTGGGAACCACTCAAGCATTACACTATGTAAAAACAAAACAAAAAAAAAACCCAACAATAAGCAATGTCAGGCTCACTGTGAACCAATCACGGTGTAAGACGGCAGCTCACTTACCTGCTTGGAGTTACTGCTCACAAAGAAATCCTACAGCCATGGCAGAGGCATGGAAAAGGCAAACCAGACACATGCAGTTCATAAGTCACAGCCACAAACAGGCGAGGCAGAGGCAGTCAAGGGGAGCAGTGATGTAGGGGGACAGACGACCCATGCGCTGGACCACCAGTGAGAACCAGGAAGGGCAAGAGGCTGGCTGCAAACCACCAAGAGCCAAGCCCCAAATACTCAGGGGAGACAAAGACCATGGCACTGGCTGCTGATCACCTTCCACGGTGAGAGATGAAATTCAGAAAAGTAAAGCTTTAAAGCATCCCACACAGGCGCAAGCTGGGAAAGGAACGCCATCTTTGAAATGGCCACTGGACTACATATTTTTTTCAATATGATAACTTGAGGCATGAGAACATTAAACATGTTTCATCATTTGAGGCCTCTGATGGGCATGGACTATCAGAAAAATACGCATTTTGGTAGAAATAAACCTTTCTGTGTCACAAGGAAAGACTATGATAAATTGAACAAATGAAGCCAGTACTATTAACGTCCAGTTTGCCTGCAGTGTACTAACAATGCCTGCAGGTGCCGGAGATGGGTCTAAGGAAAAACAGAATGTGAAATGGTTCCTGTGGTTGTGCAGCCATTGGTGGCCCTGTGCACAGACTCTTCTTGAGATAGTTTTAAAAAAGACTTGAAGTGCAGAAGGGAAATAAGAGGTAGTTGACATGCTAATGGAAGAAAAAAAAAGTTTCTGTTGCTTAGTTTTATAATGCTGGAACAAATCCAGCTTTGGTGTGCAAAACACAGCTCAGGTTTGGGGCCAACAGTTTGCACAGGCCGCATTTGCTCAGCAGATTCCTTAAGGTTTCGTTGGTCTCGGCAGCCCCGCCAAAGCCAATTTTACACAGATGAGCTGCTGCACATAATTCTTGGAGTGGGAAACAGAATGTGCCGTCCTCTTGCTGTTCTATCCATAAAAGGAGGGACTGCCTTTCTAGAACGGCATTTAAGGAACAAACTGATAATCACACGGATCTTTTCTTCTGCTCTGATTGTTGCACTTTCCTTTTGTCCTCGCTACAACTGTCATTTCAGCTCGGGAGCTCCTGAGTACTATCCCAGTACAAGTAGTTTTTATTGGAATATGGTGAACCCCAGGGAGGTCATTTTAACCTGCCTCCCCCTCTCCAGCCCTCCGCCCGCCACCACTTAGAGAGAGAGAGTTGCTGGTTCAATCCAGATCTTGTCTTTGCAGTCTGACTTTGAAAAAAGCACCGTGAGGCTCCCTAGCAATTCGCTTTACATTTTGGTTTTCCAGTGCCTCGGATTTAAGGTTTCTCACGCATTGGATTGTGGGATAGACGGCTGTCACTAACTGGGTGTCTGAGTCGAAGCTCAGAAGGGCTGTCTTCAGCAAGGAGCAGGTGGAAAGATGAGACAAGCGCCCTCAGCAAGGAGCAGGCAGCAGGAAGACACGCCACTAACCTACTTCTGCTTCAGAACTGACTCTTTAGCAAACTGCTCGTTTTCCTGCTGCTCAGTTGCATGCATAGGAAGAAATAAATTTGTATTATCATTGAATGAAAATCTCCCATAAAAATGAGATGGATAGCCTTTAATTATTATGCAGTGCATACATTAAAGTACATCGCTATGAATGATCTAGAATCATGTATAATGTAGTTTCCATTAGAGGTCCTGAAATTTTAGAAAGTCAACAATTTCATGAACTTTTAGAATGTGGGTTACAGCTTCCTGTCACTAAGTTCCACGTCCTGTGGCTCCTAAGCTTCATACAATCAATTCAATACACCTTTGATATCGCCACTGGGGGGAAAGATTCTGAATTAGGAGTGACTCAGTTCCAAAAAAAAATCATAGTTAAAGAAAACCATCTATGAATTCTGACATTCATGAATAAGCAAAAGCATGGAGCAAAGAAAAAGTGAAACAGAGGATTACACTACATTATTGTCCCAACTGTTGGAACAATGAAAAAACACCAGGTCACATTTTATTCTTTGTAAAATAAGAACTATGTTCATTTCAGAGCCGAGGCTGAGTATCAGACAAGAACACAAGTGTATGTATTATGGGACTATGTGTGCCAGCTTCAGAACCAAAACAGAAAGGATATGAAATATGGATTATCATCTTTAAATCCATATTATGCTTATTTTTTCTTATATCTTCTTTGATACTGTCACTTATACTGTGGACAGAAGCTGAACACATCTGTGCTCCCTGGAGTATTTCATACACAAAGTGGATAATATAGGTAAATATCTGTTCTGACTTTAATAATATGAGGTTTCTCACATCAACTGAACAGATGCTCTGTGTGTGTAAGTGTGCAAGCACATGTACAGATGTGTGTCTCTACATGGGAACGGATTTAGGACAACGTATGCAGAATGGAATCCAAAGATGTTTGTTATTTTGGTGGAAAAATTGTTGAGATTCGTGCTTTCATAATAAATTTTCATAAACATCGTGACGGACCCCTCCTTACATACATATGTGTGTATGTCACACACGTAAGATTAAAGTGTCATTCCTCATTATTCATCTAAATTACACTAAACCCTTACTCCACAATAGGGGCCCCCCAATGGGTTTCTTGGAGAAGGTTATTTAGCCCACCAGTTGGTTGGAATCCACAGAATCTGACCAAGACATCGGAACTGTAGAGGGAGGAAAGTTGGACACAGCATAGAAACCATGCGTTCCCGATATTCGTTTCGGAGTAGAAAGGAGAGCAGTGTAAAATACAAGATTGCTAACACATGAGCCTTTGATGCTACGATTAGCCATTCAACAAAGGGACATTCAATGACAGTAAATTCCATTTTCTTTTTTCTGTCCAATATGTTCGAATTAAAATGTCTGCACCTTTTCAATTTTCTGTCTCCTAACATTAATAATATCTAACAGAATGGCTCAAATTATCCTTATCTGGAACATGTATTCCTCCCCACCCCCCCAAAAAATTATCATCTCAAATTCTTACACCCAAAACGAAAACACCCTTGAAATGCTCAGGCTGGGTAGCTGTATTGGAATCTTTTTTTCCAGAAAGTGTCACTGCAAATATTCTTTGATTTCCTCGTCTTCTTAGTGTTAAGTTCTACTGAATTGTTATGGTCTCTCCTGACTGGAATGACTACTGATTACGTAAACAGTGTTGGTTGCTAGGAGACAATTACCCAACTGCAAGGCTTTCTGTGATCCTGTTTCCCAAGGCTCTTGAGAACTGTCCACATATTTGTCCCAGAGCATTTTGGCAGCGTTCTTCTGTACCTTCTGCTGAAAGCCTGTTAATTATAAGTCTTAGAAACTTGGGCCTTTCAACCACCTGCCTTCACAGTAAATACAACCCACATGCTCAGACTTGAATTTCACCACTCGCAAAAGCTGCTGCTTTCCCTTCCGTAAGACACTGCTCTAAGTTCCCAAATCTTCGCTTTAGACAATCAGCATGGGCTAGCATTAGCAACTGATAACAGGAAACCAACAGGATACTTTACCATGTCAGATTTTGCTGCAATGTCCCATGAGCTCATGTCTAGGTTTGGGGAATAACTTCCAGCGACAGAAGAGGGAGAGGGGAGGTGGAGGGTGGGAGGAGAGAGAGAGAGAGAGAGAAAGAGAGAGAGAGAGGGAGGGAGAGAGAGAAGCAGCAGCAGCAGCAGCAAACTGGAGCCACAGCTGCAGCGCACCTGCCAAATGAAGATTCTAAACACACCCTTTGTCTTTTGAAAAAAGTAACTCGTTTTCTAGTGGACAATGCCTTCTCTTTCTCCTGGACTGGGCATGAGTAATACTGTACAGGTCTGTCTTCCTAATTTGGTGGGGGCCAAGCTGAGGGATGTTGTTGTTGTTGTTGTTGTTGTGTGTGTGTATTATTAAGCTAGCACAAAAAGCACTGCGCAGAAGCTTTCCCTCAGATGATTTGGTTCAATGCTATCATTCTCCCTCCTCCACTGCAAATGTACCAAAAGCCATACTGAAACCAACCAGAAAGTGCCCCCAAATCCTAGGTTCTGTGTGTCACAGCCCTCGTCCATCTTCTCTCTTGGCGCTGAGCACTTCATTTTCCTGGAAGATGCTTTCTGGGGACAAAGCCACGTAGGCTGACTCGTAAGTCTGGGCTTGTCTGAGGATGCTCTCCCCTGGGCTTGATGATGGGGACTCCGAGAAAGCCCAAGGATGCCCTGCGTAGCTGCTCAGGATGTACGACTCCTGTTCAAGACACACGGAGCACTCTTCATCACCTCTGCCTCTCTACCAACCCTGCTACTTTTTAGATTCAGTTTTCCTTTTCTTAGAGCTCTGGTGAACTGCTTGGGAGCCTACTCCATCTTTCCTGCTTCTCTGAAATTCTTTGGTTTGTTCTTAAGAGGCCCTACGGAGATGGCCTCCTGAGGAGGAGTGGTGGACTCTACAGCTGGGATCTGGACTTAACAGCGGGCAGATATACATAACCACCACACTGTGGTCAGCTGGCAAACCTTAAACCCTGTGTGCTTCCAGCATCACAAATCTCTGCGTACTTTCCAGTAGCTTCTCTGGTCCTGTGGTATGCTTGTTCCCTCTAAGCAATCCTAATGCCGAGTGCTGGTGACGGATGTTGAAAGTCTCTAGGTTACTCAATCCTAGTCATTTACCAGCCCTCACACTTCTACAGGTTCCATCAGTTTCAAAGGGCCTTCTGCTCAGAGTGTAACCACTTGGTTCACATTTACACCAAAATGGCTTCCGAAATGAATACTGTGAAGTGACAATATAAATCATAAATAATCTTCCTAAAAAATTTTTTTCTGCTGGCTACGTACCCAGTTTGGCTAGATTATGATAGTAACATAGAGAGCTCTTCGGAGGGAGGAACCCGGTCTGGAGTGCAGACCAGGGCTGTTCACACACATCACGACAGGCACAGGGACACACAGGCACAGGGACACACGGTGCTGCCCTGGGGGAACCACCAGGGTAGATCCCTTGTTGCATCATGGTGACAGCAGGTGGCACAGGGGATCACTCACAAGGAGACACACTTCACAGCATCTGCACAACATACGCCGTTTACCTGCTGTCTCTGGTAGGCAGAGAAAGTTCTTTCCAGGTCTTCAAGGTCTAGAATTTTGAAGACTTTCGTATCATCAATGTCAGTCCACACGGTTCCTTCCAGTTTGTTCTGTAAAAATCAAGTTTCCGGTTTATAGTCATAAAGAAAAAGAACAGGCATGATGTCTCAGCCAGGGGTTCACAGAGAGCTGGCTTGCAACAACGTGTCAGAAGCTTTACCGCTTACTTTCTGGGGCCACACTGGACAAGCACGTAAGAGCAGGGTTTTTTACAATGGGCTGCTCACGCTCTCCTTACAGGACAAAGGGATGGGCTCACTCACCTCAGGCAGCTTGGACCAGTTGAAGGACTTCAGGGCATTCGTGGGCTGAGGAATGTTTTTCTTCTTGAGTGCCAGGCCCACTGGTGCACCAGGGGGTGGCATGATTCCCCCCAGGGGAGGTGGCCCTGGAGGAGGAGGAGGGCCTCCTGGGGGAGGCGGAGGCGGAGGAGGAGGAAGCAGTCCACCAGGCAGAGGTGGAGGCGGTGGGGGAGGAAGGAAAGCCCCAGGTGAGGAGGAGGGGAAGGGTCCCCCAGGAGCTCCAGGGGAGGGTCCGCCGGGGATGGAGGCACAGGCCGCCCTCTGCAAAGACAAACACAGGAAAAGAAAGTCCATTCATTGGGTGATTTTGAGAATTCGGCTTTTTGTCTCCTTCACACTTCTGAGAAGGTGGGTTTAAAAGCGCAGCAAGCACATTGTAAGGTCTCTGAACTCCACTGGGTCACCCCCCGTGTCTGACAGCAAAGTGCCCATCTCCGGAGTGTTCATTTCTCTCCCATTTCTTGCACTAGTGTACACTTTGGGGTTCATGACATCAGCTCTTGTCTCAAGCAGTTAATGTGATCTCAGGGATCGTATGTAAAACTGCACACCCCCTGCACGCCTCCACTGCCTGCCTACGTGACGGCGGAGGTGGGGAGCCTCCCAGCTGGTGCAACCCATCACGACACACGTCGGTCAGAAGACCCGGCTGACAGCTCTCACCCTGCTGAGCTCGTGGAGCTGGGCTGTGAGATCTGCCACCTGCTGCTTCACTTGCTTATGCTCAGTAGTCTCCTTTTCAAGTTTCTCTTTCATTTTATTCAGGGTCTGCATCATCTCTTCCTTCTCCTGGGTCTTGGCGTCGCACTCTCTCTCTTTCTTCTCCAATTTCTGTTGCAGCTCATTGTGCTCTGCACAGGAAAACAATTGGACATGAGAACAGAAGGCTCTTCGGGGCTGAGACGGTTTTTCTACAAAGTAAGTTGAGGTTAAGGGCAGAGCCTGTGAGACTTTCCATGGAGCAAATATAATACCCCTTGCCCATCAAAGGGAGTGACTCAAGGGCCAAGTGATACTCATGCTTGGAAGGGCTTCTGATGAGGAAACCCATTAATTCCATTTGTAAAAGGCTGAAGAAGGAACCGACAGATCTAAACATCAAACAAGAGTGTGAGTGAGTACTTGTGGAGAAGGATGGGACCTAGCTGGCAGTGAACTCAGAATCCTGCCATAGACATGGCCTTTTAGCAACATTAGCATAAATGAATATTCAAAGGCTTCTTTCAAAGCTTAGAAATGGGACTGAGAGAAGCAGAAGGGCTGATGGAAAGGACCTTGCACTGTGTTCTTGGAAGGCTATTAGAAGTAACTCATGCTTCTGGCGAATGACTGTTAAGACCTGTGAAAGCAAATGTTATGACATCAGTATCGCATATCATACGGGCAGAGGCCTTGGCTGGGCATCAGAACCATGGTAATACGGGGAGGAAAACATGAGCTCTCAGCTGCATTTTCCTGACTTTCCCAACTGTGCTAAAGGGAAGAGGGCATCCCGTTTGGCATACGGATTATTCAGATCAACAAACATATGTTTGCTGACAGGAGCGATGAACTCTAGAATAGACTTCATGAAGTTCAGGCTGTAGGTTTTTATTTCAAATATTTGGCCCCAATTCCTACTCTCTTTATATCAATAAATCCACGAGAGACATAATCCACTGGGGCCGAGCTACACCGAGCTAGCCTCTATTTCTGAATTTGGTGACACATTTAAATCCTCACTTTGACCTTTCTTGTACGTCCTCAAAAATATGAGTTTACAGAGAAGGATCTGGGCCACGAGAAGGCTTGGATTTCACCAGCCTTGCAGCGCAGATAACCATAACCCACTTCCACCACTCCTTGAATTCTTCTCTTTTTTTCAGACGCATAACTAAAAACCATTTAATTGCATGTCATTTCCCTTTTCTAACTCCAGTTCATTCATCTTTGCCCACTCTAAGTGCAGGCATTTGGCCTTCGTCTCCCAGGTCATCAACCTTTGACCAATCTGGGCTGGCCCTCAGAATCACGCAGGAAGTACCTGCCAGAACTCCTATGCAAAGAAGTCTTCCTTACAGACTGAAGGAAGGGCTTAGAAACCTGTGGACTTCAAACATTTCTTAGATGATCCTGATAGAGTGCTAAGTTTGGGAACCTTCAGCCTAAAGGACTCTTTGTACAAACGACATCCATTTACGCTGCTTGTACTAAGCATTTCCTGTACCGTGTATACCTGTCTTCAAGCTTCTGCCTTTGGGATTGTTTATTAACATGTGCCTTATTTAATCTACAATTTTGCTAACTGAAGCTTCCAGAAAAGAACTGATTTTCTCTACAGTCTCAACTGTCCCACTCCTTCTACTGATTGGGGATTTTTCTTGCATCACTTCAAGAGCCTACATCCTGTCATGGTTGCTAGCATTTATTGTGCAGCGGGTGCACTCCAGACATGACAGTAAAGTTCTGTTCCTTCATGTTTGGGTCATCACTCCCACCTTGTGGGAGAGCTTAAAGGCTCATGTTGCAGAAGAGGAGGCCGCAGCAGAGAGGACACTCGGCCCAGCCCTGGTCGGAGTGTGCACACAGCCGGTCTCCAGAGGTCCACACTGAGTGATGCCTGGCTGGGCCTACGGGTCACATCAGCTGGCCTACACATCTCATTCGGATCATTTTCAATTAATCACAACCTTCAGCAAATGTCCCTATTATCCCTCTAGCAGCTTCTGCAGCCTCACTCGCTGGAGGGGAATTCAGATCCTACGAGGAACTCATAATGCTTGATGATTCAAAGTTGCTGTTTTCTCGGGTCAGAGGTCAACCTGCTTTTCCACTCAATGGAAAAGGACAGACAGGATGAGAGGAAAGGAAATGTGTAGGCCGCTCTTGGACTCTCTTTGCAGTACCAGGGCGAGAGCTATTCCACTGCCTGCGATGAAAGCAACTTACTTTGAGGAGCAAAATGAAGTCCGTTAACCAGCATGGTAAAAAAGCAGTAGGTGAGAGTATGACTTATCACAAAGGGGGGACTCCTTTGATTTGCTACTATTCTGAAGGAGGGAGAGAAATAGACATATGTTTCTGGGAGTGGCTGGCACAAGTATCTCCTCTGTAAATTAATGCTGAGTGATCCTATCTGAAGATATACTCAAACACTCATGAACAACTAGCTGTTACTGTGTCACTGACTTCCCTGAATTCCCCTTTTTATACCTGGTGCCAACTTCAGTTCACGGAGCGAAGCAGGGTAGTAAAACCTAGTGGCTGGTGCTTCTCTTTAAAATATTTGGGTAGCCCCTAGTGTCCCCTTATTACATTTCTGAAGACCTTGTACACTTTAAGGAGCAGGTAAGTTTTGGATGGTCAGTGTGATGGGGTGCAGCCACTGATGGCTCACCCCTGCTCGCCAGGTTACTTGCCAGTGGACAGGGCATGGAGATGGAGTTTCCTATCTCCTCTTGAGTCATTCAAGCTAATGGAAGGCTCAAGAAGTGCACCCCGCCCCTCCTGCCTTCCACACGATTCAAAACAATTGACAGTGGGGAAATTACGCCAGAGGTTCTGCACACCTGGCCCCTCCTGCCTCCTATTAGGTGAACCACAGGAAAACTTGGGGCTCCAGTAACTTCCTGCCTCCCGCACAAGGAAACTTTGTTTGTACTGCATGGCTCTCAATCTGATTGGAAGATGTGAGTTTAAAAACCCCTATCTTTGGCCACTGAATGTAGTGGCTCCTGGAGTGTAGTGGGAGCTGCTGTCACCAGGCTTGGGCAATAAAGACTGCTCCTAACACCCTACACTTGGATCCAGTGTGATCTCTCACACTCTGCAACATCAGTAATCAAGAAAATTTGAATCCAAGAGCAGTGAACAGTAAATGGTACGTGTGCTTTAAAAAATGTCTATATGGCTATACTGAAGACAAATTATTATGAAATCAACATGACAATTAAAAATTGTAATAGAAAGAAAAGTGAAAAATGACCTCAAGACAAGGAAAGAGAAATGCTTTCCATAACTGAAGCAAATTTCCAAAACAAACAGAACAAGGTCACCCGGGCACGCACGGTGTCCGCTCCTGGCAGGGCTGTACCATTTACCTTTTCTCATTTTTTCTGCTTGTTCCTTCCACTGCTTAACTTCATTTTCATTAACCAACCTGTATAACAACAAGGAACATTCATCACAACATACACAAAAGGCTTAGGGCTAAATAGAACCTCCTTACAAAAAGTCTAGTGCACAGAGAACCCGCAATGTTTGAAATGTGATGGCTACCATGGTAACCGGAGAAGGGCGGAGTTTGCCTCCAACCAGACCCTGAACGGATGGGGGAATTCTGGCAGGCCCCTCAGGCTGTGAGACCACCGTTGCACCAACGAGGGGCCCAGATCCATATCCCCCCAGCAAAATAAGGACTGAGTTGATCCCCATTTTGGCTTCGGTGTCAGGGAGACTTTAAAAAGACCCTTCCCTGTCTCTTTCATGCTCTTCTTCCTCTGCAGCTCACTCCTTCACGTCTGTCTCCTGATCGGGGAAGGGAGGCCCATAACCGTGAGCCCCTGAAGTAAAGGCCATCTAAAGTCTTTTCATATTCGGTTGAGTTATTCTTTCCCCAGTGATTGGCAAATCTAACATTTTGGCAAGTGGTGAATCTAAGAAAACCCATTTACGCTTAGGCTGCATAAGCAGCCACGGGAACTCATCTTTGGGCCCGGCAACATTCCATCTCTCCCAGCTACTGTTCTGAAGTGGGATGTACTTCTTGCCCTGTCATTAATACCACTCAAGTAAGGAAATGAGAAGAGACTTACATCCGGACGACATTCTTAATATTGAAGTTTTCTAATGGCGTGGAGTCAGGGTCCTGTCCTTTGTCATTCTGGATGACTATTTGCTGGATAATTCTGTCAAGTAACAGCCAGTACTGCACAGTGTTGCCACTCCTCTTATCTGTAAAAGAGAGGTGTAAAAGCATCTCTAAGTTACCCCACACTAGGGCAGTCTGCAGCAGCAGTCAGCCTCAATGGCCACAGATCCAGAGGGATGTTCACAGCATCTTCACAAATACTTCAAAGCGTTGGTGGAACCCTGACATGCAGCAATCACTTATTTGATTGACAAGTGACTCTACACCCTTTTAGTCGACATGCTATAATGCACATATTCACTTTTCAAATGAAAGCCAATTAGAATTCATTTCATTTTGAAAATCTGCTACCTTTCTTGAAGCTGGGTGGAGACACACACTGGGCCAGCACAGAACCACGGATTAGAATCCCTGGGGTGCACCCAGCACCCAGTCTCCTCAGCATTCTTCAAAGGACAGAGCTGTGTGGCTGGTGTCCACTCATCACCACCCACGAAGTCCCAACTACACTCACACGGCATTTGGAGGCAGTGGTGCAGGATGGACATGAAGTGAGGGTAAGCTTCGCTATGGGTCAGCCTCTTCCTGGTCAGCTCAAACATCTGTGTCGCACTTTTTGTATCTATATGAACCTGTGGCAGAGGAAAAAAATCAACCTGAGCCCAGCATCTAAGTTCCTTGATTCCCTTATCGCAGGGTGGGTAAATGCGAGGGGAACACAAAGTGCTGCCACTTGAGCAGTGAAACAGAATACTGACTTCATTCACAGACCCCGCCAACCCACGCCCACTGCACATGACACACAACACAGACGGGAAATGCCGGGAGCTGGTGATTCCAACCAGAAGTGTAAGCATACGTACCAGCTCAAATCTTTTGGCAAATTCTAGTTCATCTTCATTTCGAAGCATTTCAAAAAAGTCTAAATGCCTGAAAGATAATCGAGGTAGTTATTAAAAGTAGAACATTCCAGAAACACAGATAGAGAAGTTCAGGCAGGTCGCTTCATCATTCACGTTAACTATGGATTTTGCACACTTATTGACTGTGAAGGGAAATACATCAGGTGAAGGGAATGGAAAATGAGTGGAGCTGAGCTAAGTAACGTACAAATCGTGGTGGAAAAGGGGCCTTTCTGGAGGGAGCAAGCAGCTTGATTATCTCTGGAAGATCCTTTGAAGGTAAAGAAATGTTGAGTCCAAAGACCTTGGTGGGAAGAATTTTCACCATGTTCACAGAAGGAGGAGGAGGAACAAGCTGGAGGGCATGAATGAAGACGAAGACTGGCAGGAGGAAAGATCTGGGCGAGAGATCAAATGATCAAAAACAAGGGCAAATGAAGAAAAAACCCGGAAAACGGCTATCCACACAATGCCGATCACAGGTAGGAAGCGCTTGCGTAGATTTCCAGTCAATTTCATGACAGACCCGGGAGAGAGTTGTCACTATCAACACTAATTTGACAGGTATAAAAACAGTCAAGTTTAGAAAAACTGGGCATTAGGAAGTAAGAGACAGGAACAGGATGGGTTGTGGATACAGGTCTGATGCCAAGACCCACACAGTGAAGGAGCTGCTTGCCAAACTCTTACTATAAAAACATCATTAGTTGAATTACATTTGGGTACAGGCCCCTCGTGTTAGACAGCTAAGGAGCAGTCCACAGGCTGATATTTGCTAAAATGTTGTTTGTACAAAGGCGGTATAAACAATCTCAGGCCATGACCCTCGGACTTACCTATCTAACGTTGAATTTTCATGTTCTCTTAATTTGTCAATTACAGGTTGAATTCCTAACATGAGAAATTCATATCGAAGATGAAGTCTAAAGTCCAAACTGTCCTGGAAGTAAAAGGGTGATAAGATAGATTTGTAGTTTGTACATGACAGATCAGGTCGAACTGATTCATTGACGATGCATTTTCAACATCATAGCATGGAAGGTTCTTACCACTCCTGCGCCTTGGCTGAGCACTGCATTAATGAAGGACATGATGGCTGTCTTGAGGTTCACTTCATCTCGATACCGTCCCGTGCTTTTATCTAGGTCATTGATTAACGTCTATCAAGGATGCAAATACAAAAACAAATGGCTGAATGATGAACTATATGGCTATGTAATGAAATCTTTAATACGCAGAAGCTAATAAGTAAAATTCTACTTTGATTGTTCAGTTAAAATTATACTGACTCACAGAAGGTTATCTCTTTTTTGGAATTATTCAGATACTACTTGGAAAATTTCCACATTACATATATTCACACATATATGTGTGCAAAAGATAAAATAGCTTGCCTCATTAGTTCTGCTTGTTTTATAACATTTGAGTAGACACCTTGCATATCCTCACTCTTCATATTGATTCTGAAGGAACACCTCCATTTCACACACTCAAAAAATGTGCGCTATAAGTAATATAACATGCAGAACAGAGGGCTGTATTTTCAAACTGAGCAAATCTAAACTCCCACGCTGTGCGACCATTCAGTCTATCTTAGGAGTGCAGTGTGTGCGTAGCACAGCAGTGAGACTGCCCATGGTCCACACTGCATCGCCTGGGTTTGACTCCTGGCTCTGGCTTCCTGCCAACGTAGGCTCCTGGCTCTGGCCACAGTCCCAACCAGGGCTATGGCAGAGGTCAAAGAGTGAGCCAGCAGAGGAGAGCATTCTTTCTTTCTCAAATGAAATAAACAAGGACAAACTCTTGTTTTGGAAAAAAAAACAAAACAAACAAATAAAAGTATATTCTATTCTCTGAAACTTAACCTTAAGAGGAAGAGAATGTTTGAAATGACAGCTAAGTAATCAGCACCGGGAAACATCGAGTCATGTACTCCCTGCAAGCCTGCAAAGGTGTTTGTGTAGGCAGAGCTCGAAGCAGCATAAACAAAGAGGCAGCTGCCAGAGCGCCCACCTGAAAGCGGGTCCTTTCGCTGGCATACTTCTGGTAGTGCAGCATGGCCTGCAGAACCTTCTTGTGGCCGCCAGGAACCAAGCACACGGCGCCCAAGATTTCCAGGACAGCCACCTTTGTTTTAATGTTTTCCGTGCTCAGACTCTGAGCAATCACATTAATACTCTCAGAATGTGCTAGGACATGAGCCCGGCCTTGAGAGTTATTCATTAGAGCCTTGATACACCCGATGAGAGAGGTATGTATTCGAGACTCCGAGGTCTCGTAGTCCATAGTCTTCAGGAAGTTGAGAATGCATGACAGACCATCCAAGTCAATGAACCTGGTGACAAACCTGTCGCGAAGAGACACGCATCAGATATTGGGCGCTTTTGCACACAGAGAGAACACCCTTTCCCAAGAAGTACATTTTTGGAGTCTTCTTAATTCTTTGCCTCTTTCTTGACACAGACTCGGGCCAGGTATAACCAGAGTATGAAAAATAAAGTTCGTTTGAGATGAATGCATCTCAACTAGTATAAGCAACCAGTTAGCACGTCCATCAATGACCAGCAACAAGAGCATAGCTGTGAACCCTGTTACTGCAAGCTTCCAGCTCCTAAACACGTGGCTATGTTGGCCACTGACCCTGCCAATGAGAGCCAGGCAGGACCCTCCAACTCCAGGAGGCTTGTTCCCCAACAAATGTTCATCTACATCCACAGCACTTTGTAGTAAAACTTTCTGTACGCCAAGCAGAAACTCAACATATAGAGCAGATAAAAATAATACTTCATTACTGTAGATTTTTATTAATATTTATACAACCGAATGTTAATGAGAAAAGCCCACCATGCACACGTACACATTAAGGCCTCTGAGAGGCTCAGAAGTGATGTAACTTGTTAATCCAAGCACTCCAGAAATTTCCAAACTTAAGCCTGAAGTAGCTATTAATATCTGACAATGCAAAATTAGCTGAAGGAAACTGATCAAGTTAGGATAGGCTGGGAGACCTCGGACATGTAACTGGACAGTATTCTTGTTAAATCAGGTGTTTCTTGTTTACACTTTAAAGCAAAACAAAGGGAATCCTTATTTTCTAGCCATTTCGCCCAACCACATTACCCGGATGTAGCCAAGCTAGATAACCGAATTAGCTGTGTTACTGAGTATCCCTGTGATTATTCCTACGCTCCTGAAAGTACCAACAGAAAAATGAAGCTATGGAAGACATGTAACAATGGCTCAATACCAGAACAGAAATGAATTATTATCAGAAAATTTGCCCACCAATTTTGGAAAGAACTTCATTAAGATATAATTCAAACACCATAACATTTACCCTTTTAGAGTGAACAATTTAGTAGTTTAAAATCTACTAACAAAGCTGTCCAGCTATTTATAGCATCTAATTTTAGAACATTTTAATCATCCTCTACATATTATTTTTCCGTTCCTCCAACCCATGGCAACTGAATATTTTCTCTCTGTGGACTGAACACTTCATATAAACAGGATTATACAGTATGTGGTTCTTTCACTTAGCATGATACTTTAAAGGTTAGCCCGTGTTGTGACTTACTCATAGCCAAATAATAATCCACTCTGTGGATATACTATGTGTCACTGTTGAGGGGCGTCTGGGTTGTTTTTGTACTTTTTTGGCCACTAAGGATGATGTTGAAATACTAAAACATTTGTGTAGAGGTTTCTGTGCGGATACTTCTTTGTTTCTCTGGCTCTGCCGTGGAAGGACTCATGAATCACACCGTTCCCATGGCATACTGTTTAACATTGGGAGTAACTGCCCAGTATTTTCCAGTGTCGGTGCCTCTTTACCACCCCAGCAGCAAAGAATGAGGGTGCAAAATTTTCCAATTTCTTGTCATCACTGTTAATCTCTCTCTTCCTTTGTTTCTTTCTTAAACATTCTAGTGGCTCTCTGCATAGCTTTTAGTTGAGGAAAACGAACCCCCAAAGGCTCAAGGGTGACAAGTATTGACGCTCTGGAATGTTGACCTAGTGGAGTGAGGAGGAGAGAAGGCAGGGAACAGTTACCTCATGGGCTTTGTCCTCAGTGCTGTCTTCAAACTCTCGATGGTTTTGCTCCTCTCTTCTTCTTCTTCCTTTTCTAGAGCCAGCAAAGACTTTCTCTATGTAAATAAAACACAAGTTCCATCTTAAAAGTTTGGTTGTATTCAAAGTGCAAAGCCTACAGGAAGAACAATCCCAGCAGGAGTTTCATAAATGTGTTGTCTTTAGGTCTTTTCAAATTTTAAATGAAGTCTTCAGGGGGTATTTTTGATAATACATTTATTTTATTTTTGATGATATTTACACAGGGAAGAAGGATTCGTACCCATATGAATCACTGATGAGGGTGATTGAAGGTGAAGGTTGAGGACTGGGGGAACAGTGGATAGCTGCCGCCAATCTCACTTTTTCCCCCTGAATCTGGAGAAAGTGGGGGAAAGAAGGGGATATGGCCACTCCCAGCAGCCCAACCGCATCAGTACCAGGGGATGGGGGCTGGCCACCTGACGTCATCCCAAGGCCCTGATGTGAAGCGTGTTCCGAGGGTTTTGATAGTTCTAGGATGCTGTTGATTTTGTTGCTCCAAGGTCGAGGAAATTCTTCCAAGGTCCATTTGTTGACACAGTCCACCTTAGAGTCTCCACTCACCCAGATACTCACTGTCAAAGTTGGACTGTCACAGTTGCCTGGTTTGTTCTGCCCTCCATGGTACCAGACAACTTTTGGGGGCCTCAATGAATTGGTTGTCATGTCCCCCATGTAAATCTGGGCATGTTATTGATGGCACAGGCTTCAATACCTGAGGAGACCCAGCTCTGACACATGCACTCCATGGTCTGACCACAGATCCTGTGATTTTTACTGTGGTTTGAGTTTTGAGTACAGTGGCGTAGTTAAGGGGATCCCCAAAGACCTCACAAGAGGTGACCCCAGACAGGGCTCCTGTGGGAGCCAGCCAGTGCAGTGTCTTGTTCAGTCTGTCACCCACATCAGCTCATACACACACTGGTGGTTGTAGTCACCCAGGCAGTTCTGTCCCTGGCCCCATCTTCTACACAAACCAATGGATGCTGTGGTCCAGCCTAACTCTGCCCACCACAAACTAGGCCCTCACACACAACAGCTGCAACTACAGCCTAGACAGAGCAAGCCCCAGAAACCCCACCAGGGCCACACCAAGCCTCAGTTCCTGCACATACCAGTATGTGCAGCAGACTAGTCCATTCTGTCCCCCATCCCATTCAGCTCTTAGATGCATCAAGGGCACTGGAGCTTACTTTAACCCAACTGACCCCACTGTCCACCCTATACTTCTACTGGCACATGCCACTGCCTATCCAGCCAGGCCTACTCCCAGACCTTGTCTTCATGCTCACCAGTGGGAACAGCAGTCCATCAGAGATACTCACATTTTCCTACTTTTCCAGTGATTCTGTGGTCCAGCCTGGTGGGACTTGCCACCAGTCCCACACCTGCTAGCCAGGGCTGCAGCAAAATCCAAGCAGCCTGCACTTACCAGTGGATATGGTTTCTTAGCCCAGCCTGGCTCTCCCCCTAACCCAGTTCACATGCAGGCCACTGGTGTTGAGCCCTTCCTTGCCTGGTCTGCCCACCCCCCCATCCCAGTTCTCATATTCACCAACCAAGCAGTGGCCCAGCAGGAGAATCTTTGCAGCCCCACTGTCAGACCCTCCCCCCTACCCCATGCCTGAGTTTTATTTGTACTGGTAGATGTTGTGGCCCAGATGAGCATGGCTTGCCTCACCTTGGCATTTGCCGACAGATGCTGTGGCATGGCTCAGCCCAGTCTGTTCCCAGTCATACCTCATGCTGGTGGGTGCTGCAGTCTATCCCAGCTTAGCCAGCCCCTAGTCCTGGCTCTAATGTCAACTGGCTGGTGTTGCAGCCCAACTCAGCCTGTCCTACACCTGGTCCTAGTTCTCATATGCCAGTTAGTGTTATGAACTGGTCCAGTCTGGCCCATTACCAGACCTGACCCACACATCTGCCAGTGGGTACTGTAACCTGGCCTGGTCTGGGCTACTCCCAGTCTTGGTTCTTGCACTCACCTGCAGGGACTGTGTCCTGACAGAGCAATTCCCTAAGTTCCTCTATCAGGTCATCTCCCAGTCGCAGACACCTCCCGGTAGCATACACACCAGTGGGTTCTTGGCTCGGCATGACTTGGATCACCTCCTCTCCTGGCAGGTGCAGTGGACTTTCCCAAGCAGCCCATACTAATCTGGTTCTTACTGTTCAGTGCTAAAGCGCAGTCCTGCCTGGTCCACCCAGAGACCCAGCTCTCATATGGTTCATTGGCTGCCTAGACCTAACCCAGCCTCTTATACCAACCTGGCTCCTGCAAGGGTGTTGGAACCTAGACCAGTCTGGCACACCACAGAACAGTTCACACTCAAGCCAAGGGAAGCTGCAGCCATGTCCAGCTCAGCTCACAGCCCCCATTCCATCCCTTGAGCTTAAGAGTGGGCACCTCAGGGTCATCCCTTTGTTCCCAATCAGACCTGCTCTCAGCCAAAGATCTTGCACATGCTGATGGTTGCTTCTACGTAGCCTGGCATAACCCATCACCCAACCTGGCCTTTGATATAAGATGCTGCAGCCCGGCCTGCCCTGTCTTTAGTCCCAATTTTCACTGGTGGGTGCAGCAGCCACGCCCTGTTCAGCCTGCCTCATCCCCAGCTTTCATGCAAACCAGTTTGATTAGCTTATCCTATCCCATCCTGGCTCCTGCCTGTGCCAGTGTGCTCCTATTTGGCTGAGCCCTGCCAGTCCTAACCTCCAGAGCCAACCTGTACACCTGCCTACAAATGGAACAGCCTTCCCCAGGCTGACCAATATCCAGGCCTGAATCCCATGCTCACCAGATGGAGATGTAGCCCATCAGGGAAGTTCCCCAAGTTCCACAACAAAGCCCACTCCCACACCCAGATCTCATACATTCCAGCATGTGCTAGGCCCTTACTCGGCATAGTCTGCCTGCTAGTCTTGGCCTTTGTGTGAGCTGCTGGATGTTGCAGCCTGGCACCACACCATATTCTTGGGTGCACCTGCACATGCTGCAGCCTGAACCAGTCCAACCTGTTCCCAACCCTAGGACCTATGAATGTTGGTGGGTTCCATGGTCATGCTTAGCCTGGCTTGTCATTACCCCTAGTCCTTGGGCAAACTAGCTGGTTTGGCAGTCCCATAGGAGTGACTAAACCCCCACAGAATCTGCTCCCAGATCTGGTCTTCTCACATGCTGGTTAGTGTCATGGTCCAGGCTTACATGGTCCATCTCCTGTCCCGAAATTCACTGGAGGGTACTATCAGGCAGTCCCCACCCCCCAGCCATGGATTTTTGTGTGTGTGCTGGTCAATAGTATTTGATACCAACAATCCCAGCTCAATTCTCTCAAGTGTGTGGGTGAACTGGTTTGGCCCCGAAAGGTCCTCTAGTTTCCCTCCTCCACACCACCTGATCTCAGCCCCCTCATTTACCTGCAAGTGCAGTAGCCAGGTTGCTAGAACTTCTCTGAAGTTACTCTTCACCTGTCACATTCTCTCTCAGCAGCCCACCCTCGACACCCCTGACCCCCTTCCCCGAGCAAGCTATAGTTCCTCACGCCAATGAACACACAGATCACCAAGCCTGGTACTCTGGTGTTGTGCAGTGCCAGCCTGGGGCCCTGCCTGCTTACCCAGGACCATACACATTATTGCATGGGCCCCCAAATCCTGTCTGGTGGCGTGCTGGCATCTGCTTCCCCCTGCCATGCCCCAACATATCTTAAAACATAACAACAACAACGACAACAAAAAGAACAGGCAACTGTGCTGACACACTGATAGAGTCAACATAAATTTGGCATGAACCTGGCCCAGGACATCCACCAGCTGTTAGCTGCTTTTCTTCCAGCAGTTAACACTTGGCTAGGTACAATACAACAACCTAGGCAATTGCCTACAGTGGGGCATAAGGAATAGTTCAGAGATCTTGGCAGAGATCACACTGACCAAATGTTTGTAAAAAACCCATTCTATAGCTGTAGTCCGATGTAGAAATCTGACAGAAAAATTGGACCTGTAGTGAAATACATTTCAGCAACTAAAGCTAACAGTACTGTAACCCTATCAAATAGAAAAGGTAAAAAGGTGGTTAATTTTCCCATGCCACTCTTCCATCACTGAAGAAAGTGAAAACCAAATAGATTTTGTGACACTGAATTATCTTCCAGAGGAACAATTAAATTGGACTTGGTGGCCAGATGTTTGATCTGTTAAATGGAGATACGGTCAAAAGTCAGGACACGAGCGCATGCGCGATTCCTTCCTATCCGGGGATCTGCCACAGTGGTCGTCCTCAAATGTCACAGTGGGTTTGAAAATCACCAAGGGATTTTTTTTTTTTTAATGAAGGCTTCGATTTGGTGTGTCTGGGGTGAGGCATGAGCAGGTGGCATTTCTAAAAAATCTCCAGGCACCTGCGCCTCAGTCGGCGCTGCAGGAGCAAAACTCCAGGCCAGCAAATCTCAGTTTATCTTATAGACGCACAAATGCCAATGAGATTTCCAGTCTCTTCCATTCCCTTCCGGTCCACAACCACCTGGCTTAAGTCTTTCGTGTTACCAGTCATGGCACTTTTGGTTCCTTTTTGTCATCCTCATTGGAATGCGTGTTTACCGAAACTCAGCTTCTCTTTCTGCTACAAACTCTTGCTGAACACTTGCTTGGGAAACAGATCTGAGGAACAGTGCACGTGTGTACACACACACACACACACACACACACACACACAAAACCCAGTTTCTTCATTTCTTTCAGGACAGTAAATCATAACACTTTTTTTTTTAATCAATAGCATCAACATAAAGCAACTAAACATTAACCAAAACCCAAATCTGTCATTATACTAAGAATGGCAAAGCCAATGGGAAGTGAATAGTCAGTATTTTATGGCTGTTATTAAAAAAGAAAAGCAGAGCTCAGTGCAGTAGCCCAGCAGCTAAAATCCTTGCCTTGTATGCACCGGGATCCCATATGGGTGCCGGTTCTAATCCTAGCAGCCCTGCTTCCCATCCAGCTCCCTGCCTGTGGTCTGGGAAAGCAGTCGAGGACGGCCCAAAGCCTTGGGGCCCTGCACCTGTGTGGGAGGCCCAGAAGACTCTGGGTTGCTGGTTTGGGATCGGCACAGCTCTGGCTGATATGGTCACTTGGGGAGTGAATCATCGGACGGAAGATCTTCCTCTCTGTCTCTTCTCCTTTCTACATATCTGACTTCCCAATAAAAATAAATCTCAAAAAAGAAAAAGGTAAAAGCAGAGTCTTTCATTAAACGTTGTTCTGGTAAAGCTGTCCTCTTGCTCTGATGTACCTAGCCAGCTGTCACTAGCGGATGGTGGCAAAGAAACTGACCGCAGGAACACACGACGAACATCCCAAAGTTCCCTGAGACTGACCGGCTCGTTGAGAGGTTCCACACCAACCCAGTCGGGTATGTGCAAGTCCCATTATGCCAGCTGAACTCACCTGGACTCTCCAGCAATCGGCATCAAGTCACTGATACCATTCCTAGTTCCTGAAAACACTCACAATCCTACCCCACACTTAAAGGTGACACATTCTACTGTGGATCACTAATACTAAGTATAGATGAATGTATTCATCCTGTTGTGGTTCTGGAGATGGAAGAACAACTCCATAAAGGGAGATGACATTAAGTTTGTCCTTACTGTCTGCAGAGCTGGGAGATTCAAGGAATATTTAAGAAAATTGGAACTTTCTTTACCAATATAAGGAACTTTAACTTCCTTTTGAGACAGAGGTGACTTCGAGCTTTTGCCACATCATTAGACTGAGATCTAAGATGGCCCGTGCTGTGCAGAGAAAACGGAGGATACAGAGCCAGATCTGAAATGCTAATGCAAATGTTAAAATAAAATAATCTGTACAAAGGATTGAGTTTGCAAGCATCACGTCAGGAAGAAAGTTTGGCTTGCAATGTGTCACAGACAATGGAGATGCTCTAGCGTTTTGAAGATGAAGGCTATGCCATTCGTCTCATATACACAGGCCTTGTGCTGGCCCCTCTGGAAGGCTATGCACTTAGCCAACATCTGCTCTTTTCAGAAGTGGGCAAAGGACAAAGTGCATGCTGGTTGAGTATCTTCTTGTCAAAGATACAGCCCTGAGATGCGCCAACATGATCCAGGAATCATCCCTGGTTGGGAGGCTATGACTAAGCTCTCATTTGAAAATATATATTTTTTAAGTTTGTTTATGTTTCTAGTGGAAAAGCAGATCAGATTTACAGAGAGAAGCAGACAGAGAGATAAAGTTCTTTCATCTGCTGATTTACCTCCCAAATGCCTGCAACACTTAGCTCCCGGCCAGGAGCCAGGAGCTTCTTCCAGGTCTCCCACGTGAGTGCAGGGTCCCAAGGCTTTGGGCCATCCTTGATTGCTTTTCCAGGCCACAAGTGGGGGCTAAAAGGGAGGAGGAGCAGCCAGGACAGTAATAGGCGCCCAGTGGGATCCTAGTGCAAGGTGAGGATTTAGCCATTGAGCTGTCGTGCTGGGTCCTCATAATGTTTTCTTGAGTGATGCATGTTAAATGAAGACTCCGGTAATAACACCAGTATCCTACACTGGGCTGCCGGGTCTAACACCCATCTCCAGCTTCTTGATGCTGCCTGGCAGGGACTCCAGGGGCTGGGGGCTCCTGTGGCTCACAAGGGAGACTGGATCGAGGTTCTGGCTCCCAGTTTTGGCTCAAGCTCGGGATCCCTGTGGGTTTTTGTGGAGCATGCAAACAGTTGGGGGATCTTTCATTTTCTCTCACTTCCTTTCCAAAAAATTATATTTTCCCCCCTTGGTATGAAATCAGTAAACCAGCTCATTAGTTGACTTAATTTTCTTTCACATCTTTTCTACTTGATAAAGCTATAGAAGCCACACACAAAGAAAATCAGGTCCTCCTAGAACCTATTCGGTTGCACTGCCTTATTATACTGTTGTTATTATTTTTGCTGCTGTTGTTGTTTTTTACTTTTTAGAAGCCAACGATGATCACTCAGGAGGGCTTTAAACAACAGAGCATTTTTGTTAAGAGGCTTACATTAAATAAGTGAACTTGTTCCACAAACAGCCTGTAAGTGCTGCAACTTTCGACCTGGACCATTTATTAGACTCTTGAGACTTTAAACAAAACAGATGTTCCTCCCCCCTGCCCTGCCCCCAGCAGGCCTGCAGGTTCAGGGGGGTGAGACCCTCAGGCCTCTTTCACATGTCACAAGGCCTTGGAAGTCAAGTTACTAAGAGACAAACTAGAATGGAGATTTTGGGTTCATACCAACAGGTTGAAATTCCTAATTAGATGACCTTGGCCAAGGCCTCCTTTCAGAATCACAGATGCCTCATCCCAAAATAGCTTGCACACCATGGAGTGTTGACAGGGATTGCAAACCACCACAGAAGTGCCTGTTACAATGTCTGGCACGTGAGATGCACTCAACAGCAGCCGTCACGATTGATGCTGCAGACAGCGGTTGAGGCCAACACGGACAAATGCCACTTCAACAATTCCCCAAGCAGAGAGCTAAAGAATCAAGGTGTGGGGTCCAGCAAGAATTTGGAGGAATCCTGTGCCTGCGTCGTGGCAGTGTGTTGGGACTTCTCCAACGCAGATGACCAATTAGCTAGAATTATTTATGCATGGCAATCAACGTGGTGAAAACACCACGAAACCCAGCATAGGATATCTAGTTTCATTACATCTTTGGTGTATTAATTATGAAGTTTTAAGACCTCGGTAATTCAGAGACAATTAAAGGCCTTTTCTCTTTGATCCTGAAAATATGTTGGCTCAGTCTTAAAGGGAGTGTTAAAAAGGTCCCTTACAGGGAGGGTGGGTGTGTGACACAGTGGGTTAAGGTGCTGTTTCAGATGCAGAGGGCCAGCCTGGCCTTCGTTAACAAAGGCGCAAATATTTGTGTTTCTGCCACCCTCATGGGAGCTTCGGGCTCCTGGACTCAGCCTGTACTAGCTCTGGCTGTTGTGGCATTTGGGAAGGAACCAGCAGTTGGAAGATCTCTCTTTTTCTCTGACAACTCTATGCCTTTCAAATAGATAAATCAATAATTTTTAAAAACAGAGTGCTCTGTTAGGAAGTGAACATAAGACAACAGCAAGTTCACTGGCAAGCAGGCAAGCTTGAAGAAGGATTTGAAGAAGGGTCACATATTGGCACCAGACAGCACAGGAATGAGCCAGGTCTAGTCTAGGCATGGTAGAAACTGTATCATGAATTTGAAGTGCCCAGATATTTGAACAAAGGAAAATACATAGTACTTAATGCTTCTCCATTTATAGAAGGGAATTCAGTAACAAAGACTCAACTCTGATTAGACAGCAAACAATACTGACTTCATTAGAATGAAAGCTACTGCACAAGACAGTTCTTTTCCTAGCAGCCAGGAGCAGAACTTCAGATTGTTACTGCACAGGCAGATGCAGAGAGAGGTCCCTCGTGCTCATCAGAAATCTCAGATTCTGTTCTCACGAGAAGTCCCAAAGATGCTGAAATCATCCTCTGTCATCCTGGGCATTGTGTGGAAGGAAGAAGAATCGAGTGGTGATTTTCTTTCCTGCCATGCCTTTAGCTTAGAAATTCTCTCAGCATCAGCTAGCTTACGCAGTTTCTTCTATAATTTATACAGCCCCACTCACAGCTCCGCAGTCTGCTTATCATTCTTTGTATAACAGAAGTATCGTCAGAGAAAAGACTAGAAGAGAGAAAGCTTCCAAGAGTTTCAGGAGTGTGATGATTCGTATATTCTGGTTAGATTTTAACTTCTGCAGCAAGCAGCAACAAAGGACAGACGATTTTAAATGTTTGCTTTCACTGATAAGAAGTCAGCCCAACATAAAGGCGCTGGAGAATTCAGGAAAAAGGCAGACAAAGGTAATTAAAGTGCTGTCGGTGTCCACACCAGCTATTGGACATTATAAACTCAAGAATGAATATAACAGGTCTTCGAAAAATCCAAACAAATGCATATTATGAAAAAATACAGCTGGATTTCAATTTTTCTCCACTAAAATAGTCACAATAGTTCATTTTTCTACATGCTTTCTAAGTATTCTCATATAACTGTTTAAATCATGAGTATGCATATTAATGGAAAAAACTGCTTATTGTTGTCGAAATTTTCAAATGTCTATTACAAGTGTTTAATCTGCTAAGCTCAAAGATGATGACTTATTCTTTGCTATTCAATACTAGAAATGCCCATCTCACATTGAGAATGCATTTAAAGTCATTACTAAATAAAAAATCCATGTACCAAGGATCTCCTGTGCCAGGCCCTAACCATACTATTTTAAATATTAACATTTAGAATAGTGTTGCCATTACAAAGCTCCAAGTTGTAAAAGCAATTGTAAAAGCTGAACATAAATCAGATTTTATGTTATGTTTCCTCATTAAACTTCATTGTAATTTGCCATGCACAGATTTTATTTAGAACATAATAGGGGACCAGTGTGGTGGCCTAGTGGCTGAATCCTTGCCTTCCACGAGATAGGATCCCATATGGGCACCGGTTCATATTCTAGCAGCCCCACTTCCCCCCACTCCAGCTCCCTGCTTGTGGCCTGGGAAAGCAGTCGAGGACAGCCCAAAGCCTTGGGACCCTGCACCCATGTGGGAGACCCAGAAGATGCTCCTGAACCCTGGCTTTAGATCTGTCCAGCTCTGGATGCTATGGCCACCTGGACAGTGAAACAGTGGCTGGAAGACCTTCCTCTCTGTATATCTGACTTTCCAAAAAAAGAAAAAAAAAAAACCCTTTAAAAAAAAGAGAGAAATAATCCTGTCCAAGTATTTCTTTTGTTCTTCTAACTCCTCCAACACCGAGCATTTAAAAAGTAATGAGTTAGTAGATCTTATCCAAATTTTTTTTGTGCAATTGCGTGTACTTTGTGCCAGACTTGCATTTTGAACTGTGTGCCATAAAGTATAAAGTATACGTACAGCAGCCATGGAATTGAGCTGGTCGATGTAGAATTCAGGCCAACTTGTGGCTCCCTTGTTTTCCTCCTGGTCCTAAAAAGGAAAGGAGAAACCGAATGATATACCACCAGATGTCTACACATCACAGTACAAAGGTCACATTTGACTTCCAAACCATTCACAGTCACCCAAAGCACGGACTGTTAAAAGACAATGGCGTAAGAGAGACTCATTCTTAAATGTTTGCTTTAAGTTGACTGCTTGACCAGGATTATACCCCCAGGCCCCTCTTTACACAGCGCGGAGGGGCAAGTGAGACCTGACCACCTTGTCATGTCCAACAATTCCTAACTCACCGAACTCGAGAGGAATTGAAATGGGAATTTGGACATGCCAAGGTATAAAAGCCGTGTTTAGTCAGGAGCACACTGCATTGGGAAGGGCACTTAGGACACACGGACAAGAGGTCTTGTGTCACATCTGGATTGCACATCTGGATCGAATCTATGCGAGGAAAGCCGTCTTAAGTGAGATATTTGCTGATCAGACTCTCAGTTGCTTTATTAAAAAAAATAAAAGCAAAACCCAAACACAACAAAACCCTAGAGAGCTCAAGGCATGGAGAAAGCCTACCCTAAACCACCGTAACCAGCTCACACTTCCCTAACCCAGATGACCTGGAGCCAGAGCCTGTGGAGGTCGGATCTGCACCAGCTAAATCGGAATGTCTACAGAGAAAAGGAAAAAGAAAAAGATATTGACTGGCTGTGGTCTCTGCTCCACCAGACCACTCAGCTCATCGGATGTCACTGTGGTCAGGGGATGCCCGTGTGCTTTGGCTTGTTTATGAGACTGGAGGTCAGGTGGTGATGCAACGGTGCTAGAAAGGAAAATTTCAGCTAGCCCCAGCTTCATATTCAGAGCACTTCGTATAATTAATATACCCTGTCCTTCTGAGGATGCATTACCAAGTACAAGAAGCTACCAACGTCTAACAAAACACTATACATTCTGTCTTAACCGCTGAGTCAGAATTCCAATTCTTGAGAATGGTTTCATCATGGGATTTTTCATTTTGTCCTCTACAAACTCAAAAACCAAAAGCCCTTGGTGCAGCCAATGTGGAATAGTGGGTAGTAACTTGTGGTGCAGGTATTTCATATGGATACCAGCGTGACTCCTGACTGCTCTGCTTCCAACCCAGCTCCTTGCTAATGTGCCCGAGAAAGCAGCTGAGGATGGTCCAGGTGCTTGGGCCCTTGCACCCACGTTGGGAGACCCGCAGACGCTCCTTACTCCTGGCTTCAGAGAGGCCCAGCTCTGGCCGATGTGGATATCTGGGGAGTGAATAGGTGGATGGAAGATTTCTCTCTGTCTCTCCCTCTAACCCTGCCTTTCAAAACATAATAATCATCTCAAAAGAAAACAGCATAAACCACTTCCCCTGGGACAATCTTTCTAGCCAGGTCGACTTGGGTTCCTGGGGTAGAATAAAAAGAAAATGCATTTAAACAACTATTTTTCAAGTAGTCACAGCAAATGGACAAAGCACTGCCTACACAGGGCCTTAAAGGCTGCCGGAAACTGACATGTGTACTCAGGCAGCTGAGTTTCCTCTGGAGACGCTGTGAGCCAGCTGACAGGGATACAGGCTACAGCAGTGGCATGGAAATACTTCCATCACTTAAAAACATTTAGGAAGTCGAGTTTTTAGAATAGTCCTTAATTATAATTTAACATATTGGTAAAATAGCTAAAACGTGGTAGTATACATGCTGTATTCCTGCTTCTTCTTAAAATGAAGTATTAAGGGCCCAGCACCTAAAGTCCTTGCTTTGCACATGCTGGGATCCCATATGGGCGCCGGTTCTAGTCCCGGCAGCTCCACTTCCCATCCAGCTCCCTGCTTGTGGCCTGGGAAAGCAGTCCAGGACGGCCACCTTGGGACCCTGCACCTGTGTGGGAGACCTGGAGGAAGCTCCTGGCTCCTGGCTTTGGATCAGTTTGGCTCTGGCCATAGCGCCCACTTGGGGAGTGAATCATTTGATGGAAGATCTTCCTCTCTGCCTCTCCTCCTTTCTGGATATCTGGCTTTCCAATAAAAACAAATAAATCCTTTTTTAAAAAAGGGGGGAGTATTAAAATTAGCCAAGCTCTGTTGTTAGCACTGTATTTAACAAGACAAAACCCACAGTGATATTCAACGGTATTTGAACCTATAAAATGAAATAGAGCTGCCAGATATTTCCATTTCCCAAAACTAGGGAAAAATGCCAAACCTAAAACAAAATCAAGTCCCATCCTTACGGTCCCACAAGAGCCTGACTATTGTAAGCATACAACAGTCACGGTTACACAGCAGAGAGCACTTAAGAAAGTGGACACTCACAAACACAGGGAAATCTTTATAAAGCTTTGGAAGTGCTTTAATAATGCAAACACATTAAGGGCAAATCTAAATACTGTGGCCCAAGTAAGGTGAACACGCTTGATTTTTAGTCATGTGGTTTTGCTGAAGTGTGTGAAAGCTTCTTTCCAGTGTACTAATTGTTACCACTCCGTTACTGGGGACTGGTCCTCACAGCTCTTCATTTTGGCAGTACACCTCCAGTGTGCAGTGCGGTTCCGGTCTTTTTACAAAAGATGTGTGCTGCAGCAGCCAAGCCAAACTCGCCTCTGTGGTCAGCTCTCCCCTCTGGCTCATGCGGCTGCTGGAGCCTGTGCTTCCGCCGAGGCACAGGGCAGAGATGGGCGAACCGCTCTCCCGGGTGGTGGAGATTCCATAAGCAGCGCTGGACACTGAGACACGCTAAGAGGGAGACCCTTTCCCAAGAAGGCCGCCAGTGAAACTCCTCAGCAAAAGTGCAATGTGTAGGATTGTATTTACAAAAAATCCGACAAAAGTTGAATTAAAAGATGTTTATTATGGTGCAAAAAATTCTGAACTCCAAGTGTATGAGAAGTCTCTGAAAAGCTCATGGAAAATGTTTATTATAAGAAAACTATGCATACTTTAAGAAAATGCTGCTTTTCGGGCCCGGCGCAGTGGCGCAGTGGTTAAGGTCCTCGCCTTGCACGCCCAGGACCCCATATGGACACCAGTTCTAATCCCAGCGGCCCCGCTTCCCATACAGCTCCCTGCTTGTGGCCTGGGAAAGCAGTTGAGGACGGCCCAAAGCTTTGGGACCCTGCACCCGCTTCGGAGGCCCGGAAGAGGCTCCTGGCTTCGGATCGGCATAGCATCGGCCGTTGCGCTCACTTGGGGAGTGAATCATCGGACGGAAGATCTTCCTCTCTGTCTCTCCTCTCTGTATATCTGCCTTTCCAATAAAAATAAAATAAATCTCAAAAAAAAAAAAAAGGAAATGCAGCATTTTAAAGCTAACTTGGCTTTTCCTTGTTTTCTTTTTTCCTTTAAAGATTCATTTATTAGCTGACAGAGTTACAGAGAGATGGGGAGGTGGAAAGAGATCTTCTCTTCCCTGGTTCACTCCTCACACGGGCACAGCAGCCACGCCAGCAGCCAGAAGCTTCATCCGGGTCCCACTAATGGGGTGGCAGGTAGTCAAGGACTTGGATTGCCTTCCGCTGCTTTTCCCAGGCCATGAGCAGGGAGCTGGACAGGAAGCAGAGCAGCCACGACGTGAACTGGCACCCACACGGAAGCCAGTGTCGCAGAAGGCAGTTCACATGCTAACCCACTTTGTAGCCCCCCCAAAGTTGGTTTCCAGTCCCACTTCCTGTTTTTGAAGTCCCCTCATATGATCTTCTTGGGGGACAACTGGGTTCTATGTAATACGAGGATTATTTTTTGACCCATGTCTCTCAATTCTGTTTATTCTCAGGAAACAATCAGAAAATTATGTAAGATTGTGCACCTGAATTCTTTGTAATGGACATAAGAGCAACATCTAATACTTAAGTAGCTCATTATATGTCCAGTGGTGTTTCCAGCATGGGACTCTTAAACCACCCCATGAGATAGAAACTGTTACTACACCAATTGTAGCAAAGAAGAACAAGAGTGGAAGAGAAAGGTGACATGCCAAAGTACTGTTAAAATTTCAGAGGCAATGGGAAAGAATGGGTACCTCTTTTGAAAGATTAACCCTCACATTAATGAGCAATATACATCAAATACACAGCTGGATTTCACTTGTAGCTATTTCACTATCAGAGAACTCAAAACACATGGCAAACGGGCAAACCAGAGTTGACCTTTCCTTACACCACTACTACTACTATTTTTTGCCATATTCAGCATCGCTGAGCGTAATTCAAAGGCCTTATGTCTTACCCTGGGGTAGCCCCCTGGACCCCCTCTCTAGACTCCTTCGGTGACAACGCCTCTACTCTTCATCCCTTTAGCAAGGTATTACATCTACTTACAAACAACACTTGCACAAGTTTTGTCCTGGGGGCCAGCAGTGTAGTGCAGAAAGTGAAACCACTGCCCGCAGTGCCAGCATCCTGTGTAGTGATGGGTACAGTCCCAGCTGCTCGCCTTCCATCCAGCTCCCTGCCAACACAACTGGAAAGCAGGAGCAGATGGTCCAAGTGGGCCTACTGGAGAACCCCAGGTGAAGCCCCTGGGTCAACCCAGCAGTTACAGTCTCTTGGGAAGCAAACCAGCAGGTGCAAGATTCATTTTCTCAGCCTCTCTCACTCTCCATGCCTCTGCCTCTCTTGTTGTATAACCCTTTCACACAAAACTTTTTCCTAACCTATCTTCTCCTGCATACCTAAATCACCGTGTACAAGGTCACCTTCATGGGAATTTCTTTCTTTTCTTATAGATTTATTATTTTTATTTAAAAGTAGATTCACGGAGAGAAGGAGAGACAGAGAGAAAGAGCGTCTATCTGCTGGTTCACTCCCCAAGTGGACATATTGTCCAGAGCTGATCTCCAATCCAGAACCAGGAGCCAGGTGTATCTTCTGGGTGTCCCATTTAAGTGCTTTGGGCCATCCTCTACTGCTTTCCCAGGCCACAGCAAGGAGCTGGATGGGAAGTGGAGCAGCTGGGATATGAACCGGTGACGATTTAGCCACTGGGTCATCACACCAGGACCTTAATGGGGATCTCTCAAGAA